GAAACTGTTACCGGGAAATTACTCAACGATTTAAGTGATAATGGTAAGTATGCCGCAAATATTCTTATTTACTATATCAAATATATTATGTAAATGAATATGTGTATGAGTTACTGGTGACGTGCAATCTAGGGAAAGTGTTGCTAAATGTCTATACTAAGCAAAGCACAGTAACAACACTTGTATCCGATGACATTCTTATCATCATCCAGTATCTTTATGATTTGTATATACCGGCATTTACACTGTACTACGTAGGTTTATTATGATTGATTCGTGACTGATAAAATAGTCTTTTGCTAAATATGAAACAAATTAAAAGTGTATCATGGGGCAGCGCTTAGACGGGCTGTGAGTTGCGTGCACCAGCTAAAAATCTAATAAATATTGCAAGTACAAATTAGAGCATAGAATACAACTCTGACTTATTCATCTGAAAGTACTCTCTGTATGTAACTGTACACAACGCGGTTTCCTAGAGCTTTGAGTAGATGTAGAGACTGTACTTTTGTCTGAAAGATGGAGAAAAGACCCAGCTGACGATAGGCAATACTTTAAATGAAATACATTGTACCAATTTCTCTGAATAAAGCTTCAAAGGTACAAAAATTAATACAAAAAGATATCCAGTTAGCATTTACTGCTATTTGGACTGCGTCTTTCCTCGGAGAAGTGTGAATGAGTTCGAGGTGAATTGAGGTAAGGCCAGTGCGATAACCTTCCGACCTGCGGATATACATGAAAATCTTGCTCTAACGGTAGATGATGTCAATGTTGAATGAAATTGTAGACAGTCTGAAAAATGGGACAATTATGGATAATAAGTTAAGCGCTGCTCTGCTTTTCAAAAGGAGGGAAATTGATTTTTTTGCTCATTACGTATAAACTCTAGAAGATAAACAAAAATTTGAAGGTAGATTCTGTAGGTTATGCGGTAGTAGCTTTTCAGAAATGGAAAAAATTCGTCCATACCTAGTCAACTTTATCGCATATCATAGTTTAATTTTTTCTTTTCAATTTCTTTATAACCCACGGAAGCAAACATCAACAGTCCCCTCATAAAGCATATAAAGTATTGATCAGTTCTAAACGTGGGACGAGTTGTAATATCTACGGTAAACATTCTTCTGCTCGCAACAATGAAGATATCGTCTACAAACTTGCAAAAGAGACGACGACGGAGAACATGACTACACTTTTGCACTCCGTATTTCTTGCGACTTGCTTATAAAGTATATAAATTTCCATCTCTATTCTGAAATTAGAAAAAAACAGCTGCGCCCACCACGCTGATGGGTATAAAAGATTCGACCACGACCAAATATATTTTTCGTAGTTGTTTATTTAATGTGACCAATCACTTAAGGGATGTCGCTTGTCCGTCTAACCTGGTGTGGTGAAAGAGAAAAAGATAAGGCGTGGCTACAAAACTAAATAACCTACTGGGTACCTTTCCAATCGATAAATGTTATGTCTTCACCGACTGAGTACTCAATGTATTTACGACTAAGTGCGCTCTACTGCATTGATATTTAAAACCGCGAGAATTCTGACTTAGTACTCGCGGTTCCTATCTAGACGGCTGCGCTTCACTTCATATATCTGTAATCTTAGCAAGTCCATCAACGAAAAAGGTTACGAAAGCATGTACAAAGCAAAGAAAAGCAAAAAAGTCTGATGGAAGTGAATACTACTTTCAGAACGAATATGTTCGCTTCTTCCTGGATTGCTGTTACGGTTACTACTGTAACGACTTGCTTATAGTTAACACAGAACACATCGTCGACTGGCAGGTAAAACTCATTAATATTAGGAAAAGGAATAAAAGGAATTTATAAACACTTAATGAATTTTACTTGTCAACCCACGATATATGCAAAATGTCACGTTCTAAAAATATTAATGTGTAGTATATCGCACTTTTGCAAATGTTTATAGCGCATAGCTCTCGTGAAGCATGTATGTGTGTTTTTTGTCAAATCAATGTAAACATGTGTATCTGCCTGCATGTCTTTCGCCCACTTCTTGGCATTATGATATGTTTACAATCTCACAACTTTATCTTCAGAAACACATAAACGGTTTAACGGCTGGACAAGAATGAACTTTGAATACCCTATACCCTATCATCTTATGTAATTTTTCAGTCAATTTGGTAATAAATACCATTGAAGGCAGCCTTCATAAGGTGGTCTATATTCAGAAAATTTAATTTTCTTCTCAAAAGCTTTATCATCCTTCGGTCATTTTCGCCATGTCGGCACATAAACACTTAACCTTCATCAGTCCCTTTAATTAAGGCTCCCAAAGGGAAGATCTACATGCTCCAAATATGCTGCATTTAAATTCCATGTTAAATTACTACCTAAGAACCAGTTTTCATCTTTCAATCCTAAAACTAAAATTTTCACCATTTCATGAAAACCCTTACATTGAGTCCATATAGATGGAACAATTCATTTTTACATAAGAGATGGGAACAATCCATCCTAGCTTTTCACATTAATTTAGTGCGCCGTAATACTATTACATAGCGATTTCTGTTGGCAGATTCTGTGCGGTGGTTCGCTTTATTTCACATTCGGTAGCAGCTCGTCCATAAACCAAAATATGTCGGCATATCAACTTTTGTTAAAATATCCCATAAAAATTTCGGTCGGATTATTCAAAAACAAAAAAATACATGGACGGGCATGGAAAGCCGGCCAAGAAAATAAGTCTAAGTTGATCTAGAATTCAACATATGAGTGAAAGCAGCGATGGATGAAATGATATGAAAACTTTGCAATATTGTGCCATCTTTTTGCGCGTGTTGGCAACACTGCTTCCGTGTCAACGACGCGTGTGCATAGCACAATTTATTTGCCAAGTCTTTATTTCAGTATTGCACGTTTTTGCGTTGCTCTGTTACTGCAAGCGATCGGGGAAATGTGTGATCTCTCAGGGTTCGAAAGAGTGGAGACGAAAGCAGTTGAATTGTTTGACATTTCATATCATCGTAGTATCCACGGTAATGACGCCGTATGCAAAGCACACAGTAAAGCGTTGCATATGAAGAGGAACACACCTAAGTGAATTGACAAAGACCGACGGACATTTAAAAGGATTGTGGCCGGACAGCATAAATCTATCGCAACAAAGGTAACAACACACTTCAACAGTCACTTGAGTAACACTGTTTCAACAAGAGTAGTGAGGAAGGAGCCCTGCAAAGCTAAAATTCATGAAAGGACTGCATTTGCGAAATCCTTTATAATTGAAGTCAACGCTAAGCTTGCATAGCAGTGGTGCCACGATCATAAAATCAGGATACTCGACGATTAAAAGAACGTGCTATCGTTCACATTGTTTACTACATATGTACATAATGTACAAAATAAGAAAAGCTCTAAACTTCTTTTTATACTATATACGAATACACCCCTATATAGCTGCGTGCTTTTTATTCATTTGATTATTGTCTATATATTTTGTAAATAATTTTGGGAATTTACGCATTTAAAGGCTGTCCGCTGATTAGGTCATATGCTCGCCTGTGTTAGAAATTCTATCGCACGGGAAATTTGAACCCGCGACCATAGAGTTGTTAGTCGCGATCCTTTGCGAACGTTGCTTTTTATTAGCAAAATAATGAAATAAATAAAAAAATAAAAAACTTATTCTGGATCGATCGATGTAAGGAAATTTTCTTGGTCTATTTTAAGTCCTTCACCACCTACGGCCCAGGACGACTTAAGGTGGGCCACTTTTTGATTGTGCCGCGTCACAATCGATCGAAGCCGGTCTCTCCGACCATCTGTCTATCTGTCTCGTTCTCCTGTGTTCAACTTACAGGGCGCAATTTTTTCGATATTTTAATGGAATTTGATGGATTTGATCAGGTGCTTTGGCCCAAAGACGAACGCTAGTTCGTATCGGACCATTTTTTTCGAGCACTTCCCGTATAATGCCTTAATTTGCAAATCCGAGATATGAATAACTGTAGGGTAGTGGGGAGTATTTAATGATGGGCCGTACCTCATCGCAACCTACCTCTTTACATATGCAAAATTGATGAAAAGTGAATTATTTACGATAATAAATCGTGTGCTTGGAATGGCGAAGGACTAAATATTCTTAACTGCTATTGTGTGCGCAAATGACTATACAAATGATTATTAAACTTGATGAACTCGTTGTGACAAGTTTGTCCTCACACTCTTTCGTTCACATAGATATCTATTGTAATTGTGTACATATACGTGATAGGTACGTTCAATATGTTCTGTACAAAACGAAACATAAATAGTAATTGAAAAGTTTACGTTACTTAAGTGTATCGATGTATTGATGTACATTATATACATATATTTTTATATATATATATTTATGTGTACGTACACATATATGGAAAAAAGGCAGAAAAAGTTACTGACCTACTGCTCTTTATATCGAAATAAACGTTTTTTGTATTTTTGTATTTGCATACATACATACATATTATGTATGTATATACAAAAAAATATCTTTACTTTATATATGTAGATAGATGTTAAGGGATAAAGCATCTCTGTGTCAAGAATCCAGGGATGAAAAGCATAAACTTTTCATATGTTTCAGCCGTAAATGGTCAATATTTTATGACTTACATAATTTTTGGTAAGTTTTTTTTTTTGTTTTTTTATACTTTTCAAAAGGGGAGTGGTAGTGAGCTTTTCAGTTTATGATACATTTTAGCCCTAGATTTGCTTTTGTATGTTTTTTTGCACCTTTCTTTTCTGTTTTTTTCTTTCTTTTTCTCTATTTTTTGGTTTTTTTTTTTTTTTTGAATTTTCATAAACGTACACCGTAGCAGAGAGCTTTTATGCTGCTGTGCTATTGAGATAAATGAGAAGCTTTTCAAGGATATGCTCGATAGTTGCGTTTTGCGTTGTGAAACAGAGATGCTGTTGCCTTTCGACTATTGCTGCTGCTGCTGCTGCTGCCGCTGCTGCTGGGACCATATAGCGTGTGTGTGCTCATTTGCCTGGCTTGGAACAGTGCTGAAAATGTTTAACATGCTTACAGTACGCAGGTCCTTGTTAGCAATGGACCTTCTCAATATATGCAGCACATACATTTTTGCAATTGTGAAAAATCAGTTCAATTCCGTTTGAATTTTCGTTAAGTAGCAGTAACAAGACTTGTCGTCGTTGTTTCGCTTGGCAAACCTAAGAAAAGCAAAAGGCAAAATAAAAAGAAAATTGCCTAGAGTTCGCAAAAAAAAAAAAAAAAAAAAAAAAAAAAAAAAAAAAAAAAAAAAAAACAGAAATGGCCAAGTTTTAGAACTATTTCTTAAACACATTATTAGATGGATATGACCAGCTAAGCAGCCAGTTAGGTGTCATGCCAGGTGGAAAATGAATTGAGTTGAAAGCGAATTAAAATGCTTCGCATTATATCGGGATAGCCTTAGCTGAGGGAATCTGCATGAAGGAAAATTGTATGAAAGTCGCTGCTGTGTGAGCTAAAAATCCTTTGCATTTAATAGTTAAGGAAAAGTGTTTTTCAAATTTTCCCAAATATCGCTTTTTCGGTGAAAATTGTTGTTAACTAATTACATAAGCAATTCGCATTGGTACAAAATCGTTAACAGAAAAAAAAAAAAAAAAAACTTAAAAAGCATAAACGTTTTCTCTCTCTCTCTCTCGTTTTCAATATTTAATTTAATTATTATTATTATTATTATTTTTTTTTTTTTATTGAGTTTGTTCGTTTTACTAATATAACCGATACGCACAATAATCGATTTATAAGAGACATACGTGAAGAAAAATTATTTAACTAAACAAAAGTTTTACAAAAACAACAAAAAAAAAATAAAAATTAATATATTAATAATTACAATCATAATAATGATGATGGTAATGATGTTAAGCCTTAACTTGAAACAGTTGTTGTAATAGACGAAAATGAAAATAACACAAGTCAAAGAACAAACTACTAACATAATTTTTTAACAAATACATACACAATGCTTTAAAAAAAAAAAAAAAAAAAAATTATTAAATAAAAAAAAATTTTAAAGTCTATTCTATATATGCTTAAAAAATGTCTGGATGCATATAACTAAGCTTAAAGTGTATGCGTGTGTGCGTGTGTGCTTGCTCACATCTGTGTACGCCAGAAAAAGTAATGATCTATTGCACGCTGGTCTTAGCTTCTATCGCTCTCAATAATAATAATAATAATAATAATAATAATAATAATATCAAAGGAAATTATTTGAAGAATGAAAATAAAAAAATTAATGTAAAATTATAATAAAATAGAGGAAGTAAATGAGTTAAGCTACTACTGCCTGTGTAAACGTTCGCATTGCGGGGACTCGTACTTAAGAAAGTGTTTTAAGGAATTTCAGCAGAGTTAAGCAGCAGTAGGGCACCTTTTTAAGGAAAAGAATACAAAATGACAGACAACAAATTAGGGGATGAATCCTCCTCCCAACAAATGGATTCGCATGAGATCAGCAAAGATTCTCAGTCGAGTGGTAAGTGGATGGTGAAAGCGGTGACATTGCGGTGACAGCTGCTAACCTAACATAATACACTCCTGAGACGTTGGCCTATTTTTTTCTTTTTCTTTTGCATAAAATTCCTTCTCATGTCTTAATAGCTTCGAAAACCTTTTATCATTTGTTCCTTTTGTTCATTAAATTCTTTCTCACAAGTTATGTACATAGGTATCGATAATCTTGCTTTAATGAATATTATAATGTACCCGTTATTCTTATAGGGTTGTTATTGTTGATGATGTTGTTGTTGTTGTTGTTGTTGTTGTATATTAATAATTTTACATCACAGATAACATTACGTTAAGCATACACAATGATGTCTATGCGATAATTTTGTGTATTAATAAGAAAGATGAAGAAGAAAAAGAATAAGAAGAGGAAGAGGAAGAAGAAAACATTGAAAAAAACAATAGATACACACACATATAAAGAAAATTACTTTAGTAAAGATACTTGCGAAGCAATGCAAGCAGACTTTACCCAGTTATAGATACATGCACGCGTACATAGGTATTATATGCATCTATTATAATCTTCTTAAAAGATGGGTAAACAACAACAATAATAATAATAATAATAATAACAGCAATACCAACAACAACAAAAGAAAATCTATTTCTCTTTTTTAAGATGAAAACTCATTTCTCGTTTGTGTTAATCATGATAGTAGGACGACAGAGTTAAATACTACAGTGGAAGAAGAAAACCACATACACGCGTACATAAACAAATATATTTATATTCATATATTTTTATATTCTACATATATTCGAGATATTGTAGTTATATTTTATAAAGGTGTGCGCTAGTATGTGCGTATGGATGTATGTGTGTATGCTTATATATATATATATATAGGTATTTATGACCTAGGTTGCGAATAGTGTGTCATGCTATAGTTATAACGATGTTTTAAGGCTTTTTTTTTCTTGTTTTTTAATTTTGTTTTTAATTCTATAAAAACTATGATGTTTGTATGTTGTGTGGATGTGTGTGTGTGTGTGTGTGTGTGTGTGTGTATGAAAACGAACACAAACGCATATATACGATTGAAATAAAAAATGTGTATTTGTGTGCATACAAGCTTAGAAACCTTTTATTGTTGCCATTGTAAATATATGTATTATATGTACGTTTGTAGGTATGTACGCCTTTATACTGAAAAACAAATGGCCAAAGGAATTGCTGTGTAGAAATTCCATAAGTTTGTGCATTGAAACGTATACGTTTTGTAAGTATGCGTGCATCTCCGATACGTCTGTTTAATGAGGGTGGTGGTGGTGGTGGTTGTGGTGGTAATGTGGTGGTAGTGTTGCTGCTGCTGTCGGATTCTGTACATAATATATCTTTTTACATACATTCCTGTGTATGCGAGCGCATACACATGTTTTCTGCCTTTACAGGTCACAGGCCGCGAATATTATGCGCTCGAAATGTGTTTACGATTCCTTTTAATTTAACGATGCCAATATATATATATATATATATATTTTTTGTTTTTGCTTTTTGCTCTTTTCTTTCTTATTTTTTAAAAGCTTTTCAACACAGTTTGGAATTATGTGCACATTAATAATGAGGTTAAAATAGAAACTAACAAAGATGTTATGTAGCAGACGGCAGAATTTACTTATGTACGCGCATTTATTATGTAGATACACATTGCATGAAAAAATATGTATACAGATACATACACCCCATATTTTTTTATGTAGATTAGATACGGTAATCGTTATAGAGACTGACAGCTCGCGCCGGTAGCACGCAAAATTCATCATGTCTATGAGTTAAAAGTCCTCTAAATGCCTTTCAATCACTTTCCTCCGCCAAATTGTTATTAAATATAACTGCACGGGGACTGCCTTGCTTTCCCTTAACACTACCGTGGTATTCTTCATTACTTTCGGACGTGTCAGCAGTCGTTGCAGCAGTCGTACTTTCGCTTTGGAGCTTTGGAAGCTTCCCAACTTGATTGTTAATACAACTCCGGCTCTATTCTCTTATTGACTTGCACAGTTCGACTATATGGAACAAATTCCCATGCGATTTTTTCCGCATCCTATTTTCCCTCCACTCAGGAAATCGAAGCAGTCTCTTTTTTCTTAGACCAAGCTTCTTCGAAGCTTCGTTATGTTATCCACCAGCGATATATTAGCCTTAACCTGCACTTTTGGGCAGGGAATTCTTGGAATTCTTTGATAGGCACCTTTCCCTCTATAGCGTAGTACACAGCCCGTTTAAAATTCGTTCAATTTGAGTCTGAGATAATTTGTCGCCAGAGAAGACTTGTGTATTTACTAATTTTACACACTTGCCACAGTAAATTGTTAAACCGATGATCATCACAAAATTTATTTTACAATTCAGTTTGTAGCATCGAACATTGTTGCTAAGTAAAGCCTTATTATTTGTAAGACAATTTGTTTGAGAGGACATTCAAATATGGACTGAATCTCATATAGATTTTCTACATCTTTTCCTAATTTAAAGACCATTTCAATTTTTACCAAAGTTCATCAAATATTTATCTTAATAATTGCGACTTGTGGATAGAATACAACGGAGGCTTAAATCTATTCAGGAAATCTGTATACCTATCTCAAGTCGCTCTTGGTGCATACATCCTCATCGACTGAATATCCTCATACCCACATGCTATGTGGGGTACAACAAAAGCATATACGAAGAGATGTACAAGCGAATATAAAATCGCACTGCAATCAAGAATACAAATAAATCCATCTCAGGCGGCTTTTATGTAGAGGCGTTCCAGTAAGAGCCCTTGCAAAAAACCACCATTCAAAAGCAGACTTTCTATCCTGTAAACTTACTGTAAAGTGGAAAAAGCAATTTGCATTCTTTGCTGCCAAGAACATTGCGCTTGAATAGCAGACACTTTACCATGAGAATAAATAAAGTGCAAGAGATTTTGACTTTTAGTTTAAGTTTGAGTAAAGACAAAAAAAAACGCATTCAGTGAAAAACGTCTCAAAGCTATGAAAATTCCTTCGACATGGAAATCGTAACAAAAAAAATATGTATTCTCATGGCAAAGTGTATCTATTTATATAGTCATAGCTGCACGTACAACTTCGCAATAGGCGGGCGAAAAAATTCGTGGCGTTATCATCACGGAACTCAAATACAATTTTCCTAAATTTTCAAAGAACTTTACAAGATTCACTCTAAACGATAAACTTTTGCCCTTTTGCTGGTAACACAAGTAAGTCATCGCCGTAGACATTCGGGGATTTCCGGAAGAAAAATTGCGGCAACTGAATTTCATAGGCTGCATTTGAAAGTAAATTTTATATCATTAAGATGCAGAGACCGAAAAGACGTGATAGCCATCGGTACGCTAAACACACCAACACTTTTCAAACCAATTCTTTCAAATTTTTAACCGTTTTATTTAATATATGTACGGTGGGACATTGTTGTGAAGCACGACAACCTCGCTACTGTTAATGAATTCTGGACGCTTTAACTCATGTTGAATTAGATCGTGACGTCCGATGGTTTTCCAATCCTAATGATTCTGACTGAGGTCATTAGATTACATCTCGCAAATCCGAGTTTTATTTTCGCTCGTACAGGTTCATTCAATCATCTTGGACCAAAATCTTTCTCTCGGATAACCCATATCCCACCCATCATTGTCAGTCTCTTCAAAAATGCGTGGACTTCGTTTGGTTTCGATAGTTGATCGCTGGCGACAATCAGGTTCATTAAATTTTTCCTTCTCTTTACAATATTTGAGTTCCATTTCATAGCCAGCCTTATGTGACGTCCTATTTCAAAACTATTGTTTAGTCAATGTAAATGAAGGGGTGTTTCGACTTTCGACTAATCTATTATGAGTCGTAGCCTCGACGACACTCCATTCACGTGCTGATAACTTTTATTAAGCATTTTCTTCGCAGGCGCCACTAAGTTTCGTACAAGCCTGTGAAGCGTTATCGTGGCAGAGCTTTTAAAACGGGATTACACTCACACTAACGAAACAATGTCGTAAAAGTCCGTCCGCCCTGTCTACAAGGGCTTAAGAAAAACCTACGTTTTACTATACCGAACAATTGAACGTTATTTTCTGGATCATTCAATCTTGTCTGTGTCCGTCCGTGTAGTGTCCCCATATATTGTTATGCTCATTTACAATCGCAATTTTGGGACATAGTTTAACGAAATTTAGGATCGGACTACTTTTCCAACAGTCGTACAAAACAAATCTGCAATTCTCTAACATATCGATATATCACAGATTTTGGATTAAATTTGGATTAAATGTGGCAATTTCTTGAACCCATATAACTTTTCCTACGAAAATCAAGGTTTTATATAGCGAAAGCGTCAAATTTCCAACCGTTAATGATAAAAAGTTGACCATAATAATAATTTGACACAAAAATCAACTATTGACACAATTTCGGACCAAGTAGGTCATATAAAAGTTTGTTGGGAAATCTAGATATACCAACTTAAATTTTTACTTTCTACTTGTTGTTGCATTAATCCCATCAAAATAGTTTCCAAATTCTGGAATATTTTTGTAAAAAATTTTCTCATTCAGTTCTAGAATAAATTTCACCCTTCGGGCTTTTACTTTTCATTAAAAAAGATTGTCCTCGCGATATTAGTTTTAGCAAAGAACACTCCTTTATGCCGTCAAAGTTCGATTGTTAGTATTTTAGGAAGATAATAAAGCCATATTTATAATATATTTAGACTGTGTCGGTTCTCATATAAGAGCTCCGCTAAAAGTATGCCGTTACATGACAGCAAACTGTAATCTTTAACGTTTCATTCCGAAAATAAGTTAAGAAAAATGAAAGCGTTAATGAACAGCGTTGCCGGACTATGAGTATTTTTTTGTATTTTCAAGCCTTTTATGTAAAATAGACGGCGCTTTCCTTATCGCTGTTTATTTCTCGCAAGCGGGTCTAAACAATTCCTCGCTTACTTAATACTTTGCCAAGAAATTAAATGGTTCGCTGGTACAACTCGAAACTCACGTGTGCTACTTACGTGCACCGTCCCCCATTTTCCGCACTCAACTACTCCTCTATCGTTGTTCTTTGCCGACTTTCTTGTCATCCCGCATTACCGTCTCTTCACATTATGCTTGCATGTTTTTTATAGGCATTGTTTCTTTTGAACTTTTGCGGCCGCAGAATGCGGCAAAAACATTTCAACACCATTTTGGCATACCGTCAACAATGTTGTATGATCTTAAAACTTAAAAAGGTTTTTGTAATTTTTGCTTAAAAGCAGAAAACACGCTTCGCACGATTGCGCAAGAAAACTTTCTTTCGTAAGCTAAGAAATAAAAACGTAAGAACGTATCGTAAGCATTTTACATAGAATCCTTCGCTCTGGGTTGACCTGATGAAAATTGTAAAAAAGTTTCGTTGTTAGCCACAGAACTCCTTAAGCATGATGCAGAGATAAACTAGGATATAAATAAGAGTTTTTCCCTTGTTGCGGACATATTTGAAACTTGACCGTTTCCGCGAGGACACTCTTTAATTAGAAACATCTATAAAAAGTTTCTCGTTCCTTTGTTTGCGTTAATATACCGACAATGCATAATAACCTTATAAAGATGCGCAATTACACGATCTGTATCGAGTTGAGAACGAGTTATATCTACAGAGCGTAACATTAGATGCCTATAACACGATTATATTCAATTCAACTAATAGTTCAGTTCAATCATTTAGTGAAATGTACTGATTCCCTTTTAGAATGTCCGGCTTATAAAAGTTAGTGACTTACATGCCGGGTGAAAAAGTTGAAATTAAATCTACGAAAAACTAAGCGCCTAAGTTAATGACTCTTTCATAAAGCCAGATATTTCACGTACAATCAATTTAACACAAAGCAAGACTTCCAAGACGAATTAACCCTGAGTACTGCAGAATAATCTTAATGGCATAAGTTAAGCATCAACTATTTTATGCACAGTAAAGGCTCTTTACTCGCGGGGTATACCTTCCATAAATATGCCGTGAATACAGAAACCGTGAATACGGAATGGTAATTTATATGGGATTGTAGGGGATACGTTCCTAGGTCACAAAATAAAAAAAATCAATTTAATTGAAGTTTTTGAAAATTTCGATTAATTATCTTAAGGCCTAGGCAATGGTTGAAGGAATTCTGTAATTTTCCCTTGCTTGACAGTTTTTAAAAGCTCCTTCAATTCAGACTGAGACGCAGTAGTCGCATTAGCAATTCGCCTCTCAAAAATAGGACTTCGTTCCATAGACGGGTCAATGTTCATAAAGAAATCGCGTAGCTCATGTGCCATTCTGATACCTTCACTAGGTTTTTTCAAATTAAATGTGACGTTTCCAGTGCTTGTTGAAGGCTCTTCTTCAATGGGCTGTGAATTTAACATTTCCTCCAAGTCGGTCTGAGATCAAATCTTCATCTTGCGATTCAAGCAATTCCTGAATGTCACTTGATTCTATCTGTTCGAACCCATCTCGTCCTATTCCATTCGCGATTTCGGCTATGTTTTGCTATAACAAATTTCTTCCTGCGTTCCCTAACATTCATATCAGGATTACATTCCATATTGTCCAACATGATTTCGAAGGTTCGTCCAATGTAATAGACCTTAAAGGCCTGGATTAATCCATTTATAGCCGCGAATATAGGAATTGAGTCGCATTTTTTTAATCCGCGAATGAAGGACGTGCGAATAAAGAGCTTTTACTTTATTCATTTGAATCGGTTATTGAGACTAGGTAATGATAATCATTAATTGTTACGGAAGAGATCAAACAGGTCCTAATCATTTCCATAGCAACACAGCGAGAAGGGCAATTCTTTGAAATCCTTGAAGAAGTGTTAAATTCATGCTTGCCGAGTAAGACCAGTAGCATAGTGTCCTCTTGGATAAGTCCATGCGGTGGTAATGTCTTGCTAGTATCCCATTCCAATTCGAACAGAGCAAACCGGAGAAATTGTTTTTGGATTGCTTCAGTCATATTATAACACACGACGTAGTCGTGACAACTGGGAGATGAAATAATCAACGCATATGCAAGTGGAGGATACATCAAAGCGGTGTAGAGACGTTTCGTTACTTAACGGCTGTCAAAACTTTTGGTCCGTCCTGTAACGAAACCAAATGCACGTCTGTCTATCTTTACATACAACTGAGCTTATAAGCAGTCTAAAGATGAGTTTATCATCAGAGATTACACCAAGATTGTCAAACGACGAAATCTAGTCCAAAGACCCGCCATATAAACTATAGTTGAAAGTGATGGCGTACACTCTACTGAAAAAAATAAATTTTCATTTTTTCGAATCAGATTTAAGGAGACGCAAGCTTTCGAAGTTGTGTGAAAAATAAGAAAACTTAACATCGCCTGCATACGTTAGAAGACCCGAATGTTGAATTATATTAAAGAGATTATTTATGAATAGGTAAACCAAAAGCGGAATCGGATTTGTAGATCATGACTAACTTTATCAAAAGCTCCTCTGAGGGCGGAACGATGACCAGGCCGATATAATTAAATCAATTCAGAAATGTGTTCCCGAATGCGTTTTCTTTGAATATCCTAAGACAAGACTTCGGTAAAAAATACGTTCACCTTATGGCAAATCTGGGATATTTCATATCCACCATCGGAAAGAGGATAATTTGTGAAAAAATTAAAATTTTGTGCTCCTTGAACACCCCTATCGGATATCCAATAAATCAAATGAATTCATAGGCTGGACAGAATTCTTAGTTCATATGGATGGTGTGTCCTTAAATTTGCAGTAATTATGCCAATTAGTTATTGATGCATATACATTCACTCCAGATTAATGATTAACCAAAACTCCGTTTAACTCACTGCAATCAAAAAATTCGAATTCCTGACCTACTTGATCTACATGCCTACGTAAAATTGCCTACAGGTGTCACAAGTTAGAGTCTTGGAAACATTTTTCGTAAGAATTATCGCGGATGGTTCATTCAGATAGAAATGAACATAGAATGCCTAAAATTCATCCCAAGCTGATTATGCCAGCCATCCAAAGATAGGGGCATATTCATTTTGTCAAGACATTTGCATCTTCGAGAAGAAAGCTTCGGAGGCCCCATTAAATACACATATTACAGTGTCATATTTGGAATCCACATAGGCCTGTCCGTCTGTTCGTCTGTGTACCTAATCGTCTACTCATCTTTGTAATATCTTTGGTGAACATTCTTCGAATAAAAATTAACATCTCAGGTTCAAAAAGTGCGTAAACGCACTAAAAGTTCTAGCAGCTAGATTGGAAATGGAAATGGGCCAAATCGGTCAAGGAATGTGGCTACAGTGCAATATAAACCAAAAACAATTATGTTTCTTTCATATTTAGAATTTAGAGAATTTAAGACATATTTTGGGTTTGGAAAAAAGTTAAGCGTACTGCAGAAGCACATAGAGAAACATATTCCCTGTATGGAACTAATGCACTTGACAAAATTGGTTTGCGAAATTTCGTTCTGGAAATTTTTGCGTGTCCTGGTAGTCCAAATATCATTCATGACGATCAGCTAAACGTTATTATTAAGACCGATCAACGCATAACGATTCTTGAGATCGAGAAGAAAAATTAATTCATCCAAAACAAACGAATGCATTCCTTATATAAGAAAAAAATTATTTTATTTCTCAGGGGAAGACCGGAACATATTTCCGGACTACCTAATATATTGATAGTTAGGTACAATATGTGTTTATTCTCAATATTAAGCCGTTAATACTCTTTCATAGAAATATATATATATATATATGTATGCGTGATTGTATGATTGGTGTTATCATTTGAAAACTTCCCTCGCTTATTAGTCGACATGCCGTGTGTTTGAAAAAGCCGCGATCATAAACCACTTAATTGACAATATTTTTTGACAATGAATAAAAAAAAAATATATATTGCACTTTAATGCTATGTTTTATTTATTTGATTTATGTTGTTGTTGTTTTTTTTTCCAATTTTTTTTTTTTTTTTTAAGAAAAATGTGATGGTCAGACAGTAGATGAAAACAACGAAAAACAACAACCAAATATTGAAGCAAATTTATATTTATACGATGATGAATTGGACACAAGGCCGCATATATCGACATTTATATCATCACTTGCCAATTATGAAAATACCATACCAGCCGCTACGGATCCAGACGCTAAAGCACCTGCGCCTTCGGCGCGCATGGGTAAGCGTAGCATATATATTGCAATAAATAAATGCGATTTTCTTTGGCTACCCGACATGCTTTTCTTTTATTTTACCAATTTTCGCTGACCGAGTGTGGTTTTGCGCTTCGCTTTTACCGCTATTATGTAACTTACAGGTACACTGATTGGTTGTTATTTACCCTGTATTCAAAACATATTCGGTGTTATTCTTTTCATCCGTTTAACATGGGTTGTTGGTACGGCCGGAGCTGTTTGTGGCTTTCTGATTGTCCTGACCTGCTGTTGTGTGGTAATTATCCTTCATCATAACCGGCATCATCGCGTGCATTATATGTGCATACATATTAAGATATACGTATGCAGCATATATACAAGCAATAATAATATTTGTAATACTTTGTGCATTTGTATAAACAATGTTACTGATGAACTAATATTGAAATACGTACTAAGCGAATCCGCGCATCTGCTCTATGATATATGTGAATATATAATTGCATATGCATGCATGTGTGGATAGTTTTTGCTATCAATCAATTTTGGTTAGAATTGATTTGATTTTTTAATCCTCTTTGATAAACACGTACACAGTTGCACAGGCAGTCATGGTCACATAAATAGCACACGCTACAAAAAATAAAAATGCGCTTTACGGCATCCGACAATTTGACGCGTCTTTCATTGTCAAGATTTAGCAGAAGGAAGTCGATATTTTTAGAAAGTACAATACGGCAAATGTACATGTCTACTCGTTTTTTCTGCGACACGCCCACTTTTGTTACTTCAATACTAATGTGGCATTGTTTATCCGAAAACACGTCAATTTGACGGGTAACTTGTGTGAAATGCACCAGTTACAAAAATCGTCCTTCATCGACTAACAATGCAAGGCTAAAAAATGGGTTCAATTTCTTCATAGTCAGGTCGACAAAGCAAAAGAAACAGCAACAAACTCGGACAAATATCGACAATCGCCTATAACTTTGAACCCTTTGTATGCATTTCTGAAAAAGTGCTACCGAGATATTCTCAACATATGCGATTCATTGCTACTATCGATAAGCTTCGTGCTGCGTCTTTTCCTTTTCCGATATAGAACATCAGGCTCTCCGGTGACATCTTCCGAATTTTGCTCCTCCTGACAAAGCGTATGCTATGTATAAGTTCATGGCTGTATTAGTTAATATATATAAACATATATACATACATACATGCATGCATAAATAATGTATTGCATATATATGTGCATACAAGTAAAAGATCGTAACTTAGCAAAATGTATTCATAAGCAAAATAAACAAAAATTCATTTATGCGGTTCGGCTTAGTTCGTAATTACATTTTTTGAAAAGGCATCCTAATGAAAATATGTAAAGCTTTTTTTATATATAGATATACATATATACATATACATATGTTTTTCAATATTAGACAATGCTAACGGCGATTTCAATGTCTGCTATAGCAACGAACGGTGTGGTGCCAGCGGGTGGCAGTTACTTTATGATATCAAGGTAAATAAGAAAAGAAGTATCACAGTACAGAGGCGGTTTTAAGGATATAACGCGCCCATATAGATTCCATTCCTTTGGGCCTCAGTTCTCATAGAATGCAAGTTCCTCATATGTGGCGAAATTATCCCGTCTCTGGAGTATAACTACGTGCAGGGTTAACAAAATCTTTTGATACCTATCACCCTTCCTTTTATGTCTCTTCTAATCTCTTTGATCGCAAAGATATTACTAAAGCTGACGAATAAATGAACAATATCTAAACTACATTGCATTTTTGGATGGACTCAATAAAAAGACTATGAAGAGTGGTAAAAAATGTCTGTTTGCAGTCTGGTATTCTGAGACTTACGTGATTTCCACAGACTTTTTTAGAATCCGAGAGTTTGGCTAAGAGCTGCGATGTACATATATATTTATCCTTGTGTACTGTAAACCGATGGAGAAAAGGTTGGATAGCACGCCAGGACCAATCCAAATGCAAGAAAAGTTTTTTGTCGCCCGTTGTATAGTCCAGGGATTTATGGGCTCGAACTTTTAGAAACGGAAGCTGCGCTGCCCTGAATAATAGCTGCTTGAAGAATATCGCTTCTCTGTTAAGACTGTTTGGGAACGGCCTTTCGCGTAATCTCGTGCTGACTGTGCTTAGCCCAGAGGCGAAAATCGTTGAATACTTAGGCATTAAATGAGTCCCATCTTATCCAAGGAAAAAGAAACGGCCTGTAGCCACAGAAAGGTTCCGGGCCTCTCAAAGTCTTTCGGGCTCCCCCGTTGACTAGACACTCTGTCCTTCCATTGCTTTCGATGCCTCAGTGTCCGGATATCTAAGATAGGTGCACCTCATTGCGCTTCCCTAGCTTATCAGGATTTGAAGGCACTCCAACATCACCTTAAAGATTATTAGAGGGCATTTTAGGGCCTTTTGAATAATTTGACTGTTGAAGTGAATGCAGATTAGTTTTCTCCTGCCCTGCCTTTTTAAGTATTCCGAGGCACATGCAGAGATTGCATAAATGTATATTGGAAGTGTTGACAGAGTATGTGCCGGTGATACGACCGTTTAGAACCTCGAGCCCCATACGCCTGCCCCAGTCTCGCTGTTTTCCAGCTTTGAAGAATTGGATTCAGTGATATGTGCACCCCGTCCACATTCCGCCACTCTGCATCGGTAGGACGGCATAGGCCTTGCCGTATAGCGGTCCGATATTTTGATGTATGAAAAAAAAACTTTCATACAAGAGTTGACGCAACTATCCCATTGCAAAAAAGGACTTCAATTGGCGAACTTCAAAATATCCCCGAAGTTCTCTAAAAAGTTAATTAATAAGAGCTTCGATAATCAATCAATAATTATCAAACATCCAGAGACGCGCACACAAGTTTCTTCGTTAAGCTAACGTTAAACTTCCTTCTGTGCAGGCGAATAATCTACTTTGGGGAATAAAAAAACGGCAGAACAATGTAAAGGAGGATAGTCCTAGCTCATCCAAAAACACAGTGATGCGCATAGTAATTACAAATGTTTGTCTTTTACTCACGGCAAGGCCGACTGCTAGATATTCTACACCATTTCGCCTTATGCAGTCATTCATTCATATTCGTGACAATACAGCACAAATTATCCATTATTTTTATGTAAAGGCCCATTTTCCATATTAAAGAAATCCCAAAATGTCGGCCGACGTGGTCCGAATTTAGCAAACTAGGTTAGAGAGACTTGGACATTATAGCTATAGACAATGTTGCCTTCCATGAGATCTCCTATATGTGATCCAGAAACAGTCCTACGTGATCCAAATTCGCTAAGATTAATTTTCACGTCACATTATTATTGTGCACGCATTTCGGTAAAGAAGTATTGAAATTTAGACCTTTTTAACATATAAAGATTCAGTTTCCGTAGGAACAGTTATATGGCAAGCGATCCAAGGAATTGCTCCATCCGATCCAAAGTTTTCGCACCAATTTAGAATATAATATTACTTAGCAGTTTTTTGTCGCGAAATTCTGAAAGTTGCACTACTTTGCGAAAAAGCAGTCCAATCAGAACCATTTTCAATGACGTTCACCCTTGGGTCAAAACATGTCAGTTTATCCACTTGTATGTAAACTTAGATGGACAGACGTAAGACGGACAAGAGGGATGTACGGACAGCCAAGCTGCAGAGTATAGAAATGCAATGAGTCTTTCCACTAAGAACTCCATGACAACGGAAAGATTAGCACACATCTGATGAGAGACTTTGTCAGCTGAACTGTAGCCGAAGCTTAATATAAATGAAATCTAAATGTAAATCCTGTTCTAAATCCTGGGCGATTGGTATCAAAGGTTTCATTGCACGTTTGAATTTATAATCCAAGAAATTGTTCTATTGAATGCTCTTTCACAAGAAACTTTTTATTTACATTTAAATATTTTTGCTAAATTCTTCTTCATATTTCTTATTTTTTGTTTTTGTTAAATTTATGAAAAAGAGGGAAAAAAGCTAAGAACTGAACGAAATATTTTATAAAAAGAGAAATATTTAAAATAAAGTTTTTGATAAAATAAATTAAAGATCTCTTGGGCCTGAGTTTGGCGGAGCTGTTGGTATGTTGTTCTACACGGGTACAACATTAGCGGCTGCTATGTACGTCGTGGGCGCGGTTGAAATTGTTTTGGTATTTAAAGCGAGAAAGTGTAAAGAGGAAGACTATCGCAAAATAACTTTTAATCATTTTAGACGTATATGGCACCGTGGGCTTCAATATTTGGCGATTTTACCAAAGATGCTGAAGTGATGTATAACAATTTCAGAGTATACGGTACCGTATTGCTACTATTCATGGGTGGGTGTTGTCAATTAATCATTTAAGCACATACTACATCGATTTGTATTTCTAGGTCTAATTGTCTTCCTGGGAGTACGATTTGTTAACAAATTTGCTGCCGTGGCCTTGGCCTGTGTTATATTTTCTATTATAGCCGTTTACGTTGGCATCTTCGATAATATTAATGGCAATGAAAAGCTATAGTAAGTCTTCCAGTCTTCTTAATTGATAGACAATCTTGTCGAATATCTTTCTAACTACTTATCGTTATCTATGTAGCATGTGTGTTCTCGGCAATAGATTACTTAAAGATATACCCATCGACAATTGCACTAAAGATGATACATTTCTTTATAACATATTCTGTCCCAATGATAATTGTGATGATTATTATAAGAGTAAGTCGAGAGAATGCACTAACGGTTCTGAAAATTTAGATCGTTGACGCGCAAATTTCTTTCTTTCTTTATAGATAACAACGTTAGTACCGTGAAAGGTATTAAAGGCCTTTCTAGTGGTGTTTTTTATGAAAATATTTTGCCATCATTTTTGGAGGTAACTTTTCTCTATCACTTCCATATGACTATTGATGATAATTGTTTGACTCTTTCCTTCTGTTTTTTTTTTTTTTACAGAAAGGACAATTTATATCTTATGGCGATAGTTCAGTCGATATTGATAACATGGCCCCATCTACTTACAATCAAGTTATAAACGATATCACGACTTCATTTACTTTGCTCATCGGTATCTTCTTTCCCTCAGTAACCGGTCCGTTAACTAAAAATTCAATAAATACATGAATGTTTTGAAAAAATTTTACCGTTACAGGTATTATGGCCGGGTCGAATAGATCGGGAGATTTGGCGGATGCTCAAAAAAGTATACCTATCGGCACAATTTGCGCTATTCTAACCACTAGCACAGTCTATCTGTCCTGTGTGCTATTATTCGCTGGCACAGTCGATAATCTGCTGTTAAGAGACAAGTACAGTTCCATTATTTTACCTAAACTAAATTTACTTGTAATTGTGAAATCTTATAATTTTTCAGATTTGGTCAATCAATTGGCGGTAAACTGGTGGTAGCTAACATTGCTTGGCCGAATCAATGGGTTATATTAATTGGTTCTTTTCTCTCAACGCTGGGTGCAGGCTTGCAAAGTTTAACTGGAGCACCGCGTTTGCTTCAAGCCATTGCACGCGATGAAATTATCCCATTTTTAGCTCCATTTTCAGTATCTTCTAAGCGAGGAGAACCGACTCGAGCTCTCTTGCTAACGCTGGTCATATGTCAGTGCGGCATACTGCTGGGTAAGTCAAGGCCTTGCTAAACAAACACAAATTATGTTAAGGATTATGTTATGTTTATAGGTAATGTGGATCTTTTGGCTCCTTTGCTTTCCATGTTTTTCCTAATGTGTTATGGTTTTGTGAACTTGGCGTGCGCCGTTCAAACACTGCTTAGAACACCCAACTGGAGGCCACGCTTTAAATTTTATCACTGGTCTCTGTCTCTCATCGGCTTAACATTGTGCATATCTGTGATGTTTATGACCTCTTGGTATTTTGCCTTAATCGCAATGGGCATGGCTGTAGTAATTTATAAATACATTGAGTACAGAGGGTAAGTGCAATGGTTTACACTCAAAACGAAGCCTTACACTCTATTGTTCACTAATATCAATTTTAAATCGACCTAGACATGTCCCTCTGTCCGCATGTGCAAATGTCATTTCTCGACCGTAAAGATAAATAAAAGATAAACCAACGCAACCCCCTCCCCACCCCCCACCCTCCTGCCGTGCCGCCAAATATAAATTTATTACTTGTTCTTTTTCTACAGAGCCGAAAAAGAATGGGGCGACGGTATACGTGGTATGGCTTTAACGGCCGCTAGATACGCTCTACTACGTTTAGAAGAAGGTCCACCGCATACCAAAAATTGGCGTCCACAAATTCTGGTCCTGTCGAAATTAAACGATAACTTTATGCCAAAATATCGTAAAATTTTTGCCTTTGCTACGCAACTTAAAGCCGGCAAAGGTTTAACAATTTGCGTCTCAGTTATACAGGGAGATCACACAAAGATCGGCGGCCGGGCTGTTGAAGCCAAGCAAGCTTTGCGGAAGTTAATGGACGATGAAAAGGTTAAAGGATTTTGCGACGTGTTGGTGGCTCATGAGATTGGCGAGGGTCTAAGTTCAGTGTAAGTTTTTATAAAATCGCAAATTGCTCTTAAATGAAATGAAAATGATATTCCATCGCCATATTACTAGTATACAAACAATTGGCTTGGGCGGCATGAAACCCAATACTGTAATTGTGGGCTGGCCCTACAGTTGGCGACAAGATGGGAAGGCTACTTGGAAAATCTTTATACAAACTGTACGCACTGTAGCTGCATGTCATATGGCCCTATTGGTGCCGAAAGGCATTAACTTCTTCCCTGAATCCAGTCATAAGGTAGTTAGTCAGTCATCCGTCTTTCTTTTCGTTCATCTAATTCGATTAACGTGAGATACTCTATAGATTGGTGGCAATATCGATATCTGGTGGATTGTACACGACGGCGGTCTTTTAATGCTTCTGCCTTTCCTATTGAAGCAACATCGTACTTGGAGAAATTGTAAGTTGCGCATATTTACGGTCGCTCAAATGGAGGACAATTCAATACAAATGAAAAAAGATTTGAAAACATTCCTCTATCACCTTCGCATTGAAGCAGAAGTTGAAGTAGTGGAAATGGTTAGCACTTAAATAATTAAAGTTTAATTGTAATTTATAAATTCCTCCATTTTCCTACTATTCAGATGAACAGTGATATATCGGCTTACACTTATGAACGGACACTAATGATGGAGCAAAGAAATCAAATGTTACGTGAATTAAGATTAAATCGCAAGGAGAACTCTAAAGTTGTAAGTATTTATTTTTATTTAATTAAAAAAAAAAAAAAAGAGAATCATTTATGTCATCATATCCTATTCGCTCGTTCCTTTAGCCATAAGGTCTTTGATGAAAAGGAATCGGAAGTGACACGAAAATTGTCCACATTCATGGTCATAAACATACACTCGTTCATATATGTGCTCTTACGTATAATTTCATTCTCGTCTCATATTTGTTCTTTTTCCCGCCTTAACAACATTAACTTTATCGATGGTGCATCAAACTGCAAACAACCTCACAAATATCATTATTATCATCATCAGTGTTTTGTTTTCATTTTTTCTAATTTTTTCTTTTTTTTATTGAGTGCGGTCACATATAAACAATGACTCTTATGTATATTTGTTTGTATTAATCTTGTATCTCTATATATATATATAAAAAAAAAATAATAATAAAAAAATAATAATAATAATAATAATAACACAACAACAACAACAATGACCAACAACAATGTGTTACAGAATATAGTGGACTTGAAGCCAGTCACTGGGGAGGATAAGATGCCTTTGGTAAAAAATAAACAAACTCTCTCTCTCTCCCTCTCTCTTTCTCTCTATTTCTTTCTCTCTACTTCTACATTTTAACTATAACTACTACCACTACTACTACTACTACCACCATACCACTACTACTACTACTACCACTACTACTCTCCTACTATTACTTATATCAACTAAATGTGTGCAATGCATTGCAGTGTCTTCTTCCTTACAAGTTGTTCTTATGTTCAAAAGTTATTTCGTTTTCCTTATGTTTCTTTCCTATGTGTTTGGTTGATTTAGTTTGGTTGATTGAGTACATGAGTCTATCTAATGCACAAAATACATGCCTGAACTTACGTGTGTGCGTGTGTATGTTTTTTTTTTTGTATTTTGCTCTTGGAATTCTTCTTTAGTTGCAAAAAAAAAAAAAAAAATACAACAACAGAGTGCATATCCTTATGATTTCCTCATCTCTCTAGACTCGCTTACTAGCCTTCCTTTCTCTCACTCTCACTCTCACTCACTCTCTCCCGTTCTCTCAACATATTTATATATCATCGCGCGTTTTATAAATTTGTTCTCTTCTCATGATATCAATTGAGCTTTTAAAGTAAGAAAAAATTTCCCAACCAACCACTACAACCATACACATCAAGAACATCATTGCACATCATTTAAGCAAAAAAAAAAAGAAACAACAATTAAAACATTTTCATCAGCAAATATTTCATCTTCATAAACTTCAATGCATACATGACTATCTATAATTATCTGCATACATTCTTGTGCATAATGCTGATTCTTCTTTTTTTGTAGTATATGCGATTAAAGATCATAACGTTTCATTTATTATATAAAAATAACAATCATCAGACCTTTCCCTACTAAAATATTTTTTATAAATTGATCGACATGTATTAGAAACATGACCAAATGTACTTATATAAGAAGCGTCGGAATTCTCCTCGTCAGAGATGTATAGCTTTTTATCGTTTTTCGCTTTTTTGTACTCGTGGAAGTTGAGAAGATAAAAAGGTACGAGAATGAAAGCGAAAAAGTGAAGTAAAATTTAGCGACAAAGAAAAACAACAAGCAACACAAGTGAAAACACTATATATATGGCTCACCATTAAATACCCTGAAACACTTCATTCAATACAGTTATTTATGTAACGACTTCTCAAAATAAGGCTTCATATTTGGAGTGATCAAAGAGATGGCGCGACCCGAATCACTTTCAATAACGTAATGTACCAAATTGTATCAAATTACCTCAAAACTTGCGACATTCTGGCTACGGCATACATCCGTACAAACTTAATACAGCCTTGTACCGGAACTGGTGTAGGGTGCGAAGATATAAATTGACATCAGGACATCTTCCTTATCTTTCCTTTCGAATCATTTAAGCTTGGCGGTTTTAAAATATGTTGACCTTAACCCGAGCGCATCATTGCTGTAAAATACACAGTACACAGCGATACATTGCATCCGTTACGGATTATTCCATCAAACGATGGAAATGAGTTGATCCGCTGAATCAAATCAGCACAATCCACTTAAAGATAGAAAAAAATGATAGATTTTAATAAATTAATCACTTTTAAACGTTTACAAGCGAGGCGAATAAATAGGAGCTCTTTCGAAGATGGGGTAGAATTCCAAGAGCTTATGGTTTAATTACCAAAAGGAACATCTTCAAAAACTTCACTTATATAGAATCATCAATCTCGTATACGATGTACATCTTACGATATAAGATGTATATCTTACTATATGTTATATGTATCAAGCGAATGATGCTGGTGACAGATCGTAAAAATTTCGATTTAATCGTAATGCGATTTCTGGTTTTCATTTTTCTTAAGTGGACCTTACAACTATTTCACAGTACTGAGGTTCGCTTTAAGTTCAAAATTTAGTAAATAGTCTAGCACGACCCGCAACGTATTCTTTAAGAAATTGATCTTCCCCTTTGATTTAAGAGATTGATTATTTTATTATCTTGTTAGAGTCTTACAATTGAGAACGCCGACAAAGACTTTCGTTGATCAATTCGGTAGTCTTCAGTCCTGGATTAATGGTCAGTTGAGGTTAATGATACACTGGCTATTATTTAATATATATCCGACCGATTTTCATAACGCAATCTCACTGTCGTGACATATAATGTTTTGTTATTTGTGGATAGCGGCAAGATTCCGTTCACTACTGGTGAACAAGATGTAGGATGTATTGGATTATCGAAAATCGATTACTCTTTATAAAAAATATTAACATGGATGACTAACAATTAATTTGCGATGTGAGCTGGCGTAAAACTCAGTCTATAACCTATAACCTTTCGTTTACTTAATCGGTTCTTCGCTTCATCTGCATGACTTAGGTGAAAGACATGCCATTCGGGTGGCAGACTACGTCATCGCTTTAATATTTAGAGACGTTGGGTAAGATCGTTTAGCGGAATTGCTTCAACCTCTTTGCTAATCATTCCAATTTTTTTTAAATTTACTTTATTCATTTAATTTGCATCGAGCCATGCAAATAACGGCCAATTGTGGCTTGATTCCGCTCTCTTAGAAGAATCTCGAATGATGCCATTTTCTCCAATCTAAATAAAATGAAGATTTGATCTAAAAGCACTGGCCATTATATTCACTTCGTGATAGTGCTTTTCAGAATTTAGTCCGATGTTTGAAGTCATCATTCCACAATCGTGTCTACTTTTGAATTTTTAATAAACCATAGGCGATGTCTTCGAGAAATGCTTAAACTCCCCTCTGTTAACAGACCAGCACACTGCAAACAAGTAAATCTGGCAAATTTAACTCTCGTCTACTTACTACTCAAGTTTTATCAGATTGGAAGTGCATACGGAGAATTCAATCGCATTTAATTGAAAGCGGAAATATTGCGTATGTAATAAATAAAACATTTTCTTTATATGGCAAAAAGCAAGTAAAGACACTCTAGTGGTCCACGGGCTTGCATTAAATACCTTATATTACCCCACGGTTATCTTCAAAATAAGGCTTTATATGAGAAGTGCCCGTAGAAGTGGTGCGAACTGAACCATTTTCAACACAGTCTGTCCTTGAGCCAAAACAAATCTTTATACCGAATTTCATCAAAATATCTACAAAATTGCGGCCTTTACACAGATCTGATCGGACCGACATACGGACAGACCATCCTAATCGATTTAAAAAGTGATGCTTAATCGATCGGTATGATAAAGGATAGGTCTATTTCAAGTCTTTCTGAAATTTAATATACCCTTGTACGACACATGGCGTAGGGTATAAAAAAGCAAAAGGAGTACGAAAGCACAATTTGCTGCCAATTTAAGTGACAAAAATTAACTAAGCTCTTAATGCTGTGACTCCGCTCGTTAAGTAGGTTAATACTGTGTAACGTTTCGTCAATGGATTTAGAAGCTCTAATGGTTGCCTTGTAACCTTTTGTATTCATCATCATATGTATTTTAAAGCAGAGAAACTTTTCTTTTCGTTAGCATCGCATGTGGTTCGAATATTGTTTCGTTAGCAAAGATTATTCCAAATAGTTTCAAATAAGTTTCAAAGAAATAAAAATTACACTCATATGCTCATATTATTAACAATAAATAAATCGTTGAGTTGTGTCTTGTTTAAGCGCACACAGCACACATTATCTTATTTTTATATTAAAATTAATTTCCTTTAAATGTTTAAAAAATTGAAAAAAATTTCTTTGTTAGTTTTGTCAATCATTAAAGAGAAAGTGCGTGTGTTTGTGAATTGAAATAATGTTTAGTTGCCCATCATCTACTTATATTTATGGCTGTTGTTTATTTAGTTTATAAAAAAATTCTTTATATTAATTGTTTACTCTTTAAATAGCTTATGTTAAAATTTGTTTTTTTTTTTTTTTTTTTTTTTTTTTTTATTTTCCTCTTAAATAATTTATCAATTTTTTTTACTGATTTACATTATTTTATTTCATTTTTTTCCCCGAAATATATTATAGGTACAAACAATTATCGATCATCATCATGAAAGTATGAAAACCTCATCCAAAGTGCGTTTCGCTGATCCCACAGTTGAAGAAAAACACGAAAATGTTAGTCATTCAAAAAAAACAAAAAAAAAAAACTTTTAAATTTATTAACTCAATTTTTAGGAATCAAAAGATGAGGAAAACAGTACTAATAAGGCTTATGAAGCCGCCAGCAATGGCAGCGATAATAGACAAAGTAAAGACGATAACGATGACAACGGTGATAATCAAAATTATGTAGAGAAGAAACCGTAAGTGATGAGAAAAAAAGAAACAACTTGTAACCGTTACATGTGTGTTTGTTTGTCTTATTGCATTAATATTTCAGTGACGAAATGAATGTGCGTCGAATGCATACGGCTGTTAAACTAAATGAAGTTATTGTAAATAAATCACAAGATGCCCAATTGGTTATTATGAACTTACCAGGTCCACCCAAGGAGATTAATCCAGCACGTGATAACAATTGTATGAGTGTTTTACAATTACATCCAACTCTTTTCTCACACGGTAGAAGTGTTCTTTATACTTTTTCCAAAAAAGGCATGCAAAAAAAGGAATAATGAAATCCATATTACATTCATTTTTATGAAAATTTAGTCCATAAGAAAGTCCAATATATATAAAAGTTAAAAATGAAATTAAGAATAAAAATCAATTTTCCAACTACTCATCGCTACCCGATAACGAGCATGCACGTCCGTCAGTAGATAGATGCCAGGTATGTCTAGTACAACTGTCGCGTTTGATTCAAATAAAAAATATCGTTCGTGATTAACGGCCAAGCAGCACTAGAGTAAGCCTGGGTATAAACCGACTTGACTTCTTATCACCGTATTCCAACAATTGTGCTTTCATTCCATATACATAAGTTGTTGTGAGATAGTTTCAAAATCAGAATTAAAAAAAATTTCTGCCTTTTTTTTTTTTTGGATTCGTGCTAAAACAAAATGTTCGCTTATTCGCCATTATTGGTGAACCGTGTAAAAGAAGAGTTGCGTGTACTAATGATTGCCTTCGTTTCGCAACTTAACTGTTTCCCTTTTTCTTTTGATTTTTTGCTTTTAATAGATATGGAATTCTTGGAAGTACTTACAGAGGGTCTCGAACGTGTTCTTATGGTGAGAGGCGGTGGCCGTGAAGTAATAACCATTTACTCTTAAACATTAATAGCAACAAACAACAACAACAACCGAACAAAAAACCAAAAAAAAAAAAAACCCCAAGCAAAAGTATAACAACAATTTTGTAATATTTGAAACTTTAGGCAACTTTTTGAATCAATTAATATTCGAGTAGTAATTTTTAGGTATTAAAAATAATATAATAATAAAAATGATAACGTAACAAGAACGATATAATAATAAAACAGGAACGCAATTAAACTATTTTAACTTAATTTTATGTAAAAAAAAAAAACCCAATGAAAATGAAAAATAATAATGAAACGGAAAAATGTTATAGTGAAATAAAGTAAATTTAGGAAAATAAAATTTTAAATGTTTTGTTTTCACAAATAAATTCAAAGTCAAGTGGAATTTTCAATAACGTCGATAGCCCTTTAGGGTTTTAAGTGATTTAAGACTTTAATCTCAGAATTTATTTCTCCGGCTAAATTATTAATAATAGCAATAGGTAAGTACTATTATTAGATCTTGTGATCGCCATACCTAATCTCGAACGTACACGTTTGATCCTTAGAACAGGCTTTTTAGTGTAACTTATTCAAAGTGTGATATATCATCACCATTCTCTTGCCCAGAAGAAGGTTTAAATTCATTTGTCTCAATGCAGCAATAATTATGAACACTTCCGCGGTTTACACAAACAATTCAGTGATTTTTATACCTACCACCCCAAGGATGGAGGCAAGAAGATGTTTCAGACGCCCTATGAACTATATTTATTCCTGATCAGGGTGAAATTTTGAGTCGATTAAGCCATGTCTGTCCATCTGTGTGGGGATCGGTGCGACCATCCTTGTCGCAAAAATGAAGTTATTGACTTCAAATTTGGCAGTTCTTGGAAGTTCTTGCATGCAAGCTGTTATTGAAAGTGGGCCAGGTTAGTCAGAGCACAACCCTCCATTTTTCTGCGCTTATTAGTTATAAAATGAGCAAGAACGTATTTTGTGCATACCTCAAATGGAGACATATTATATGCCTAAATAAATGCGTTAATTCGAAAATAAATGTGTTGGATTAATGTGTTTTTAACAACATATCATCGATATGGCTATCAAATAAAAGGACTTGGAGAGCGGAATGCGAAAAGCGAAGTAGGTTAATTCTAAATTGGTTATGATGGACGCCATGACATGGTAGAATAACGTTTTCTTAACAACATCTTCTCTCATTCAGTTTTTTATAGCCGTAAATAAAAGCATGAAACGCCAGAGATTTTAATGGTGGTGGGCAACCGAGATTCGCCATCAGCCGAATATAACTTTCCTACTTCTTACATATATATATTAAGACTTTACTCTTAGAATTTATTCTCTGGCTAAATTAGTAATAATAATAATAATAACAATATTTTATAATATCCTCGTACATCAAGTGTTGTAGAGTGTATGGTACAAACCATCTTATGTACTATTTATTCTCAATAGATGATTTACAGCTGCGACTTTTGATAATCACAATATCAACTACAGCATTTAGCTTGCATTTTAATCTGATTGACTTCATTTCTATTATATCGGAAAATAAACAAAATTGCAAAATGCAACAACAAAATCACGGTCGCAATATAAACAAAAATTCAACCAATCAAAAACGCTACAAACGGCTGATCGAAATAAACCGAAACTTCGTATACTATAAGATTTGACATTTTACATGCAATCCACTTATACTATACACCGACCTAAAACTGTGAAGGTATGTGGACACTTATATTTCCTATGGCACATAATTTTTACAATTCTTCCTCCGGGTCACACAATTTTTACAATTCTTGTTCTTGCTCACATAATTTTTGCAATTCTTCCTCTTGCTTACACAATTTTTACAATTCTTGTTCTTGCTCAAGAAGAAAAAGATTAAAAGACCAAGCAGTCAAGTAGCAGTTAACTAACAGCGCTACTACAGCTGCTAATAACAGAAAGACAAAAGAGAATTTTCTGAGAGTAATTTTGAAGCATTTCTTGGTGTCCCTATGTATTTCGTCCGCTCTGTTTCTCGCAAAGATTTCTTTGATAATAATAATTAATAATAATAAAGTTATACAAATAATATTTATTATTTATTTTACATTGCATGCCTTTCCCGCCTTACGATAAAATAGAATCGAAACAAAATGTTCACTCTTGCGGTATATGAAACAAGTCAGCAAAGGAAAACTAATTCAAGATTATTGAAAAAAAAAACTCTAAAATATTACACATTATATCCAAACATTTGGCTACCCGTAGAAACAAACAAACAAAAAAAAAGAAGAAATTCGTTTAAATTCCGCTTAGTCGGTAGGCATATATATGTAGTGTGAGAAACTTTGGAAAACAAAAAGCAAAACAAAACGAAGAGCGAAAGGCAGCACAACAAAAACTTCAATTTGTGTCATTATATTGGATTGCATGTAAAGGGAGTTATATAAATCATAATTATCATAAACTGGAGCTGTTAATTGGGCATAATCCTAATTGAATGCACAACACTTCATCACCGGGAGAAAAAGCAGATAATGTCGGTGAATAATTTACCACCTCCGGAATTTTTTTCTATCACTCCTCCTTTAATGGATTTTGAGCATGAACTGATCTGGTTCGATTTGACTGAGTCATTTTCTCAGAGAATCGAATATGATAAGAGCAATCACGTCAGCACCAATACGCGCGAGTTAATGGAATTGGCCTTTAATCAGCCTTTGAACTTGCAAGATCAAAAATTACTACTGAATGAATTGCAGAAGAATCCATTTTTCGTTTATCAAATTAAACTTTCTCCCTTAAAAGTAAGTTTAAGCCGTTTACTTTAATTGATAATAAATTTATTTATAATTTATTTAAATGAATGTTTTCGTAGTTACCACGATTGGTCGAAAACAATCCGTTAATCTCAATAGAAATTTTGCTAAAGCTAATGGATTCACCAGAAATTACAGAGTACTTTCACGTCCTAGTGAATATGGATATTACTCTGCATTCGATGGAAGTCGTTAATAGGCAAGGATATTAGCGTTTTATGGATTGAATACAATGCACAATAATTCGTTGATTTGAATATTCATTCCAGACTGACCACTTCCGTTAATTTGCCTACGGAATTTCTCCATTTGTACATAAGCAATTGCATATCATCTTGTGAGACCGTTAAAGATAAGTTTATGCAATCGCGTTTGGTGCGGTTAGTTTGTGTATTCCTGCAATCATTGATTCGTAACAAAATTATTAACGTGAAGGTAAGCAAGCATTATTTTTTGGGACTCCCCGATGACTATTTTTCATGATTTAGGAATTATTTATTGAAATTGAGACGTTTTGTGTGGTTTTTAATCGTATCAAGGAAGCAGTGGCTTTATATCGTCTTCTCAAATATCAATAATCTTAGCAATTTTAAAAACAACTACGTCGGGTTATGTGGGAGGCTCACATCGTAGGGCAAATATAGCCTCATTTCACTTATTTTCTATTCAAAAGTTTATTTCGAATTGATATAAGGATATGTCTAAAACAAAAAAAAAAAAAAAAAAAACAGTAAAGGGCAAGTACCGGCAGCGTACAAGATAACCAAAAATAATTCCCCATATCCAAGTAATAAAAAATAAAAATCTTAATCTAAAACTATTGTATTGATTGTATTTAATAAGCAAATATATATGCATATATATATGTTTATATATATGTAAAAAAATATATGCATAATTTTAAAAAATTAAATTTGTTATATAAGAACCAATGTAATGTTCTAGCACTAGTATCAATGTAAATACGTCCAAGTAAAATTAATATATATACAATAATGTAAAAAGGGAGAAAAAAGAAAACAAATATAAAAATGATAAAGAACTAACTGCAAGCTGAAAATGAATAGTAGCAATGTCGCACTAAAAGTGAAAGTCAAGTCGTTCAGCAGCAACAAATGTTAAGTTATTTCGAAAAAGAATTAAAAAGAATTTTCCAAATATTCTTGACCTTGAAGTATAGTATCATTGTGCCTTTTATTATGTCAAATATTTCCTGGAATATTTCAAAATGGTACTGGCGGAAAGTAGTGCTATGAATACTCCAAATTTTTTTTTTCCTACTCTTGTTCGTAATTATTCCGAATATGGTGGTAGGCTTGTTGCTTTTAATAAAGCGTCTAGAAATTTCAAATTTTCTTATCGATTTTCCTTTTTTTTTTGCTCAAAGCTTGCTTGCCTTGTATATGTCCAAATCGATATAAGAGAAATTATATAAAGCTGGTAGCCGACTTATTAAAAACCAAGCCATTTTAATATCGAAGACGAACTAAGAGTTTATACAAACATTTAATAAAAATGTTTGTATAAATGTCTATTATAAGTACTGACTCCAACATTTAATAAAAATGTTTGTATAAATGTCTATTATAAGTACTGACTCCATACGGAGGAGCTGACGTGAGAAACAATTTCATATTGTATAGAAAATAATCAGTGGTACTTGCGTCGAACTGTAATAGAAGTGAGAAACAATTTCAACATTTAAATATGGGTGAATCGGTACAAAGTGTAACCGCAATAACTACTACTTTAAGCACAATCACTCACTATTTATAATTCTTCGTTTGTCATCGGGTAAAAACGATAAGAATGGTGCAATTAAATAAATTATTAATTGTAATGTTAATTTATTTTATTTAAAGTCCATCCAATGTAATACAATTTATACATACATATATTAAATAGGTTAATTTCAATAACCATGTTGCAACATAATTGTCTGCAGTACTCGTTTAATTTGCGAATTAGTGTTAAGACGCGATTTAATGCCTAAAGCGAACGAAACCGATAAAATTTCGACGGCGTGCTCTTGTAGTAATAAAGTCATTTCCACTAAATTATCGATTGCAGTAGCGGCCACGGAGGGATTGTCATCTCTTAAGCATTGTATGTAAGCATTTAAGGCGCAACGGTTGACGTCAGTGCGTCCGGGATTATGTTTTAAATGCCTTATTAACAGTATAAAAGCGTTCGAACGAATTTGAGCACTGGGCGAGAAGATCAATTCCAGCAATCGATCAAAGAGCTCGCTAAGGAAAGCGAAACGTTTTGAAGTCATGCATTCGATTTCCTGAAGCGGTCCCAATATAGTATCCTCTGCACTAGAATGCTTAACGATTTTTATTAGGTTTGCAAAGTGCGGAGAAATGACAGTTGATTTATTTAATGAGCCTGATATAGCGAAGGTAACCGCTCCTCTGCTGTTAATATCTAGATTATATAGCTGATAGTTGCCTATGCCATCTGATGTCGAAGGTGTCGGCTCGCTGTCTAAAGAGGAAGTCTGAGCCGTGCTCCTCGACTCGCTCGAAGTCTCCTCAAAATCGAAATCTTGCTTGATGTCAATGTTGCTTAAGTTACTGCTGGAAGTTTTCTGCTGCAATAAAGTAATGCCTTGAACAAGCTGATGAAGCGACGAAATAGAATTGTAACGATTTGCTAAAGCCATCAGTACTTCAACATACTGTTCAATGAATCCCAACGCATTGGAGGGATTCGAATTAATGTAACCCTGCAGCAGCTCAATAAATTTAATTAAGATGTGATACGCTTCCTTGACATTGCTATATTGTTTGAAAAATGTAAAGTAGCATTCCAAAGCGCCTTGGAATTCCTCTTTGTAAACGTCGTCAAAGCAAATGGGCTGCAACAACTCTAAAGTACGCAAGATTTGTATAAAACGATGCATATGGTATTCATCGCGTATAACACGTAAACTCAATTGGCCACGTCCTTGTATAAGAGAAGACAATACACCTAATTGTCGTAGGAACAAGGCAGGATGGGAGGCAGCAAGCTTCCGTATTAGTAATTCGGTATCACTGGAGAAGGCTTCAAAGTCTTTTTTCGTAAATAAATTACCGAGACAAGTGATCAAATTATTGGATACTTTATCTGCTTGGCAACCGCTCAGATTTTGCAGCTTTGCCGTATGGTCTTCCATCTCTTGACTTCTTATAAATTTAATGGATGGATACATAATGTACATTTGTCTCAACACCTTCAAACGCAACTTTTCGGAGCAATTTGTTGCAAACACATACTCAATGAATTTGATTAAATTCGATGTGCATTTCTTGGTAACTCGGAACAGTAGATTGATGCGGCAGCACAACTCGAAGGCGTACTGTGATTCATGGATTTTTAATTCGATTTCGCCCTCCTTTAATATGAATTCGGTGAACATGCGCAATTCCAAATCATTTAAGGTGAAAATATTTTCCGATTGATCGGCTTTCAAAACACTGCGATCGCGTCCTTGCCACAATTTGGGATTGTTAATTAAGGCTTCCACAAAATTCAAAACTGCCGCATAATCCAAATCGTTTATCTTGCATTTTAAAAGATAATTTAGAGTAGCTATAATTGTGTCCCAATTGGCTTCGTGACAAATCCAAGACAATAAATAATAACGGAAATCTCCACAGGATTTCGAGAACAAGAGATGCAAGTCATTTTTATTGTAAACGGTAAACAATTCGGGGTCATTCTCAGCTAAAAGATCCACTAACATACCATCGCGATATAAATTATTAATGGGATCACTATTCGTTTTCGAAGACGATTTCATGCGCTTGCTAAATTGGACCAGCATATTACGCAATGTGCTTTCAGATGATGGCGTCTTAAGGGTGGGCTTCGTTACATTACTTTGATTACTTTCCATTAAGTGAGTTATGCTCGAAACAAATATCGATGACTGATTCGATTCCCTATGTTTCGCTTTCAACGCCCTTACCAGGCGACTGTTAGGATCGGCTGCTAGACGCGGCTGCAATTTTATAATCGATCTTAATAATGCTAAAATTTGTTGTGGTTGGAGAACGTTTAGTATGAGATTTTCCGTATTTGCTTGTTCTAATTGGTGCGCGATGTTGGAATCTTTGCTGCTTAGCAATTGATTCAACACCTGACGAAATTGTTCATCATTAAAACGTTTGGGTTGTGGACATTTCAAGAGATTGTAAACAACTTCTTTCGTGTCCACAGATGATAATTCCTTGCTATTACTGGGAACGGTGGTAGGTGTTAACTCGCATAGATCAACAGCCTCCAGAACGTCTGTTCGGATTTTGGGATTATCAGCTACAGTTTGCGAATGTGAGTACAAGCCTAATGCCTGAACAGTGAAATGACCATTTTTAGCTCCTCTTACTTGCTGTATTTCAATCAGTTGGGCTAAATAGGCTTTATTAAGTATGGCATTCTTTACTGTATCAAATTGTTCGATGACAGCATGATCCAAGAGAGCCAATAATTTACTCATCGAATTAATCGGCGTACCAAAGTTCTGCACGAACAAGACAATCTGATCAGGAGTCAATTCACGTATAGCCGCTTCTATTAAGCGGTCCACAGACGAACGTATCATTTTTAACTTAAGCCAGTCAGGCAAAAGTTGAACCGGCTCATGCGGCATATTGGGAATGTAGGCAATTGGTACGCTTCCACCCAAGGGAAACCAATAATCCAAAATAGGTATAGATTCAGGCATATTATTGCTTGAGTGAGTTAGCAATATAATGAAGGCGTGTATAATATTCAAGTGCAATGGTAACTGTATACCATCGTTGAATTGCACCATAAATAAATCTGGATATTCCGTCCATTGATAAGTCTCGTAACTCGATGATGTAGTGGTTTCGCGCAGTTTAATGATGTAATTGTTGAACATGACGAATAAACATTTCAGAGTTTGTAAACGATTCTCTTGCTCCAATTGACTTTGATCATTCGCCGGCGTTGGCGTGCCTTCGGGCAACGGAATTATATGCTGGAACATCGTACTGCGCTCAACAATTAACTGAGCCATATCGATGACATGATTCAACATAAACGTGACGGAATCGTCCAAAGTATGAGCCGCTATGAATTGTATATAAGCCATAATCAAATCGGGTGAATTTTCTACTTGACATGCGGAACGTAAATGGGGAATAATAACACTTCGCACCTCGTTATTGTCATTGAAATGGGGTATTTGCGGTATGGCACTTAGCAACCAGTCATTCCCACTTAAATCGTTGCAGTTAAATATTATTTTAAGGCCACGCAAAGCCGACAAACGAGATTGTTTAACCAACGAACATAAGCGTCGAAATATATAATCCAATATCTCACAAACAGTTTGCTTACTGTACGTGGGGTCCATTATAACATTACGCAAGAAATTCACCAACTCGGCATGGCGGCTATTCTCTTCATTAATTGTGTTTGAATTGAACAACAAGAACTCACATAAACATTGCACGGGCAGATGATTGAAGTCGCCTTCGCTATTTTGTACCAAATCCGATAACCAAGGCATAGATTGCGTTGTACCCTGACGTTGTATGATATCTAATAGTAAATCTGGCTTCCGACTACGACATAGCAGATGCCCGATTTTTAATGTTTTATTTAAATATCTTAATTGTTCCAAGACCACATTAGGCACTCGTCTCGCGCTACCCATTGGATCCATAAGCATTAGTTGAGAAGTCAATATGGCGTTCTCCTCGGTAATGACCGCTAGCGATGTTTGAGCGGCTAAATACGATTCGAATTCTACGATATGATCACGCTCCACAGTAGCAATCTAAAGAAAAAGTAAATGAAAACTAAAGATCTGGACGCAAGCTAAATAAAAATTGGGAACCACATCTCTTCGAATTTACCCTATCAATGAAATTGCTTTCAGAGCAGAGGGGAGGAAACCTTTTCAGTTTATCCGTTCCTCCTAGGAAATTTAAAAAAAAAGTCCATTCGTTACCTGAAAAAAATGTTTCTCTTCCCCAAACGTACCGAAAGTATTGTCTATGTCAAACCAGCTTCGGCAGATTCCCTGTTCTTGCAGAAGTCGATTATAAATTCGACTACAGAATTATACATGTGTTACCGTTCTCTCTCTTCATGCGCTAAAGTGTAAATCGTAAAAAGATTTCGTCTTCGACAGATGCAACAGAACAGACACTTTCGAGCATATATTTAAGCTTCGAGAGAACAGCGTGAAGTCGGATATTTGCAAGCGAAAAATCATTTTTACTCTTCTAGAATTGCAGATTAATATATATATATATATATAATAACAAAATTAACTTCAGTCAGAAGGCATGTATGCCTACGAGACATTTCAAAACTTTGAGCGGACTTTCTTTCGAAACATCCTTTTCCGAAAATATTATTATTATTATTATTATTTAGCCAGAGAATAAATTCTAAGACTAAAGTCTTAAAATATTTATATAAGACGTAAGAAAGTTATATTTGGCTGGCGCCAAATACCCACCACCGTTAAAATCTTTGACGCCCTATGCTTCTACTTAATTAACCACTTAAGTCTAATTACTATAAACTTATATGAACATGTCGACGTATGTATGTGCAACGACGTCACGTCAAATTGGGTGAAAATATGGTGATAGGACAAACTTAATTCGTACCTTGTATATATTCTACCAAATCGTTTCCTATTTGATCCGACTCAAAACAAGTGATGGATATTAAAGCGACTTTGTATCAATTTAATTACCTGCAGTTCTTCTTTGCTCATTGTTGACTCATTAAACTGATTCGTTATGCACATTTCCATAAGCATTTTCATTGTGGGATAATGATCCCAACAGAATGCTCCAAATGTTGAGGGATTGTGTGCCGAAACCATTAGCAATATTAGCCAAGCCTTCCAGTAAAGTACAATGATAGCTAATTTAGGCGGTTCGTAATCAACTGGCAAATTGATATTTTCGGGATGATGATACTCAGACATGCTGAATAGAAAATCGATAATGTCGAATTTATTGGCTTGCACCACCGGGCAATTAGCTATGCGCATAGTAGAAGCTCGCTTCAACAGCAGTATAATTATGTCGAAAGTGTCAGGTATATTAAATGGTATATCTTTCGTTATACCGATTAAAATAATACGCAGGAGAGTTTCTTCATGTATGGGAGTCTCTGAAACTAAACGCAATAACGTAGTACGTTCAGGCTCTGAAGGCCATTGATCGTGACGTGAATACTGCTCGGGATTTTCGAGCAACAGTATCTTGTGCAGACCCTGATTAAATTCGGCACTTTGCAATTTGAATAGACTTGGCACAATTTCATACATCCATGATACGGAATCCAATTGTATTTGACACATTTGGTTATAAAACTTCATTAAGATGGCATTGTTGCTGCTGTTGTCCTTATTAACTCTCAAAGAGATGCTCGCCTCCCTTACTTGCGGCGAAACTGAAAGCAGCATGCACAAGCATGTTATGTCGACAATAGAATGGAAGATACGATCCCTAAATTCTGAACTCTCAATTTGTTTGTTAAGTTCCGGGCGAGAGTTTAAGAAGACTTTGCAAAAGACAACCAAATTTATATCGTTGCGTAACATGCGCACTAATTCTCTTAAAAACACTCGTAACGTGCGTAAACAGTCGTCACGTTGCAAAAGAAACTCTTTGTAAATCTCCGCTAAATGCTTAGCGGAATCGTCTGGTGCTGTTTGAAACATCGTGGCTGTAAATGAAAACATACAAGAGTTTATTTTAAAGGCACTTAGGTACTGAAATTTATGTTATATAGAAGTACCTAGCATTCCCATATTATTCGGATTTCGAGTATTTGATAATTCATTTTGCACGACAAATTTTAATATTACACTTAGTATTCCCGGCTCCAAGTGTATTATTTCTTTGATGCATGACATATAAAAATTAATAAGCGGTTTGGCTTTGAGACGCATTTTCACCAAAATTGCTAGAACATCGTGATCCTCGGAATGCTTTGCACGTACATTGAAACAAATATACGATAAGAGCTCCTGAGCAAATTTGACCAGTTTACCATTATGTATCCAAAGTTCCAAACGTGAAATGCACGAATAACGTACTTCCACTAAACCGGAAGTTTTGCACAAAAACTTTAAAAAGTTACGAGTATAGCATTCTTGTTGTTGTCGTTTATTGAGTTGTTCCTTAATGGCATCTGTGACATACTTTTTTACTATAAGCTCATTTTCGGCATAGCGATCCTTGACCTCACAAAACGATTCGCAGCTGTGCTTTACGTCTGCAGCCGGACGAACGGAGCTACTCGCCTCCGAGTTATCACAAGAGTCATCATCAACATTAATCGAAGTTGTCGATTGTTGTTGCTGCTGTTGTTGAGAAGGTCCAACAGAAGCGCTGGCGGCTGCTGTCGCAGCAGTATTGCTAGCTGAATTCGGACCAGTTGCGTCTGTTTGCAAGAAATTCAACTGAGGTGTACGTGTTTTAAATGCAGCCGCCACATTTTCTATAAATGGTGCGCACAAACTATTATCAGACCAAAATCGTTCATTAATAGCATCATCTATGTAAACGCGTAGGAAAATTTCCGGCCAATGCTGCTTGTCGCTAAAAGCGCGCGCCAATAAATTGGCGGCCAATACGTGCGAGTACGAGCTTTGCCTTATTTTACTATTGAAATCACGCCTTAATATGTGCAATAAGCCTGAGGTAATAATATCATTGGCAAAATATTCTGGATGCACCTTAGCCAAATACAGAATACTTAAGCATGCTACCATGTCTGGTTTTGATTTCGTATATGATGTCATCAAGTTCTTAATGCAACCACATATTAAACGAACCATTGTGTCAGTATCATGTTGCTCTCCGGCTGCACTTACAGTTTCCACAATGTCAACTGACTCGATATCGGTGGCCATTTGTTCCCATGGTTCATGTGATGGCCCAGGTGGTCCCGGGCCAATTTCATTCTGTGATCTCAGGCCGGCGCCAAGTTTTGCTTTTTTAGCCGCTATTAAAGACGATGAAGTTCCAGCTTCGCGTTTGCGATCTACTGCGGCCGTGGCGCCTTTGCTAATTGAAACAATTTTCGATTTTGCTTCATCACGATATCCTTTTGAGCCCAAAGCAAAAAATTCATTCCCCGCATGCACTTTTTTTGTACCTCTGCTTGAGCTGCTCGACGATTTGTTGCGTTCCATAATTATTTAGGAAAACAATGCGATTCTTCTACTTCTTCTACAAAAATTTATAAAATGCACATAAACTAATCAAAATAATAGCCGACAACAACAAATCGAAGTGAACAGGGTAGCTTTGCACTTTTTTTTATGTCATATTTTGCAATCTATGTTTTAATACCATTTTATTCCTGTCGTTGTTATCTACTGCAGCAACATTGATAGTAACAACCAACAAAAAGTAAAGCTATTGAAATTTCTCGCTCTTGATTGCTAATTTAACAAATCTCGATTTTGCGAAAAATCCAAAAAATCCTTTGCAAAAAAGTCGGAAAGAAAAAAGAAACTGAAATGGCAGATAAGAGCAAAACGCGTATGAATTTAGCGGCCATTAAAAAGGTTGATCCTTACGCAAAAGACATAGTTGATACATCATCACATGTGGCATTCTATATATTCAATTCGGAGCAAAACGAATGGGAGAAAACGGACGTAGAGGGTGCCTTTTTTATTTACAGCCGCAATGCGCAACCCTTTCACAGTATTTTCATAAATAATCGTCTTAATACAACTTCTTTTGTAGAACCAATCACCAATCACTTGGAATTGCAGGCGCAAGCACCTTTTCTTTTGTATCGCAATGAAAGATCACGCATACGAGGTTTCTGGTTTTATAATAGTCTTGAATGCGAACGCATCAGTAAACTGGTAAGTGAATTGGTTCAAAGTGCTGCGACAACGAGCATCGAAAATAATAGGGAGAATGCGGTAGATGGAACTCAAGCCAAAGAAGATAATTATAACTTGAGTATATTCAAGATGCTATCGGATGCCCAACAAATTTTTAACATTACACAACAAGCAAATTCTGCATCGGCTAATAATAATGTCAATAATCATCAGCCGGTGCAGCAGCAGCCTCAACAACAAGCCCAGCATACCCAACCAGCAGCTCCACAAAATATAGCATCGGGCAATGTTTTGAAATTTTTTGCTGCAGCCAAACCAACAGCAGATATATCCTATACGCCACGGATTTTACCGAATACTCTATCAGTAGAACAAGTGGAAAAACAACAACGTGATATAGCACCCGGGCCGCAAACAACGGCACTCATAGACGATGGAAATGCCCTATACCACACGCCACAACAAGTGCCACTGCAGCAAGAAGGGACAACAAGCAACGGAACAACCAGATTGTCTTGTTCACTATTAGAAAGTGTCGCTATGGACAATTCTAATCCAATGTTTGTGAAAAAATTGCCTCGACAATGCAGTAGTGGAGCATTGGATATAAAACCCTTGACAGCTGCTACAAATAAGGGGCCTGACTTCGGTTTCGCTAAGGCCTTACAAGCAGCGACATGTTCACCAAGTACTCTACCTGGAGAGCAAATAGCACTTAGCAAAATATTCTCTAATCTAAATTTGCAACAACATGCTGCTCCAATTTTGTCAGAGGCAACTAATAAGCCGGCTCTTATGCCCCCTACTATGTTCGACAAAGCACCAGCAACTGCACAAGAGGACACCATTCATCACTTACCAGTGAACAAACAAGAGCCACTTAACAAATACCAATTTGTTCAGGCTTTCAATTACTTGATACAAAACGACGAGGAATTCGTACAAAAATTGCACGATGCTTACCTAAAGACGTTAACCAAATTTGGCACATATCAATAAAAACGATGGCCGACTTAGACGAAAACGAAGATGGGATAACCCATTCATCATGCAAACACAATAATTCCACTACAAATATGAATAGAGGCCTCTTTAATAATATAACCTATTTCTTTTTTTTTCTTTTTTTTTTTTTTTTTGATAGAAACTTAATTTGTTTTAATGTTGAAAATGAGAAATGAAATTCTTGAGAGTAACTTTTCATAAACTAAATATTCTGAACGTATATAATCGATGTTTTTTTTGCATTGGATGGTTCTAGTTGTCTTCCTCTGATGAAGATTCACCACTACTCTCATCTTGCTTGAGCAAGCCTTGGAGATTTTTCACTGTAATCTTTTGTGGAACGATTTGCAAGAGAAACTCCAAATTTTCATTATTTTGTACCAGATCAGCTAAGTGCTCATACTTTAGAATATTGGTAGTCTTTTTGACGTTGGAATATGCTTCCTTAGTGAAATGCTTAATGAACATTTCCTGTGACGGCAAAAAAAAATTAGTCAATGACAATTTAAGAATTTCTCATTGAAACTCACTGTAGACTTGGTCATTAAATAAAGAACTTCATTTGTTATTTGACCAGTATCCAATGAACTTTTCATAATAGTGCGAATTCGCGTATGTGGTAATTCTGTTTCCATGGAAACTAAATTTTTTTCAAAAGATTGAACAAAAATAAAATAAAAGCAATTTTGTTCTTTTTGCGAGCAGAGTTGCAAGATAGCGCCAACGACAAACTTGAGTTTAGCAAACTAAACAAGAAAAACAGCTGTTCAAGGGCAAGAAATCTTTTTCGAAATCTTTAAATAAACTCATTGTACAGCTGTTTTCATTTGGCCTGCGAGATCTCTAAAAAAAGAAAGAGATTGCGAACTGCTCCAATTTTTAGTTACTGTATTCAATTTTGGTCTAAAACATCCTTTATTACATTTTTGAAAAAAAAATAATTCTGAAAATGGAATAATTAAAAACTAATATTTAGCATAACATTTCTTAATCAGATACGAAAAAATGCAATTGAGATTGAATTGATATTATAAATCGGAAAGAGAATAAGGTATTTTTAAACTACCACACGATATCCCGATGTTTAATAAATTTTACACCATTTTTTTTCATTTTACTACGTCATTATGAAATTAATGGATTGAGTAGAAACAAAATTTTATTTAGTAATTTTGGGTTTGACCTTAGTTTTGGTTTGATTAATTAATGCTTATATTGGATTGCTTGCTTATTTCTCATAAAGACATTAGCGCTATTAACCATACTTGCATGAATTATGATCAAAATACCATCTACAAATGACTACTAACCACACCAATACCATCTACAAACAGTTACTAACCACTAATCATAAAATTGTTACGCCTTTGTGTATTTTGCACGCCCAAAACCTTTTCCCTGTACTTAGCGCAAAAAATACTTGTTTTCGTATTTTGAAACTCGGCAGCCTTGTCACAATTCTTACAAACTTATGGCAACACAATACTTTAGTAATGGAATATTTTTAATTGTGGTTGGTTGCACATCTTAAGAAAAGTGTCTGAATAACGGGAGTTGCTTAAAGATTAACTTTAATATGTCAATTTTAAACACGCGTGTGTATAAACAAATATAAAAGCTTTTTGCACTTTTTTTTTTCTTGGCAAGAAAGCCCTGTCCAAAACCTGATAAAGTTTTGAATAAACAATAAGAGCTAATCAATTTTGAGTTGCTGGTCGCCTTTTCTTCGGGCTAGTTGTGGATTACGATTTCTGTAATTAAATCAATTTATTGTTGTTGGTATTATGTATTTATCGCTTTGTCTCTAACACGCAGCCATACATGAAAACTTACACGCACACACACATTCATATATGCACGCATACACATATGCATACAAGTGCATTTGAGAGTGTGCGTGCTAAACTTTGTATGTATATGTACACGTTGAGACCATTTGGAAAGACGACATTAATATTGTCGTTTTTACTTTATACATATGTATTATTATTGTTGATGCGCTTGCCGTGTAGTAGTAGTGTTTTATAAATATGCGTACATGTGTTTGCATATAAAAATAAGTGAAAATTTTTAAGTAATTTTTTTTCTTTTGTCCGTTCTGTGCTGTGCGTACATTTTCTTAGGTTAACATGCAAAATCAGCAACAATCGTCTAGTCCAAATCAGCAATCACAACAGCAACAGCAAAGCACACAACAACAACAACAGCAGCAAATGTTGTCCCAACAGGCAACACTTGTTCAAAATATTGGTGGCACAGCCAAAATGAATGATACAACACAGAATCTATCAAATGTCGGTAAGTGGTAGTATCATTAATTAATGATTATGGTGTCAACGGTTACGAGCCACTCAGTATCGGTGATGATGTGGTAACTTGTTAAAAGAATCTAATATTCATATGCGTCTACACAGAATGGCAATATTTCCACTAGAAATACCTATCAATCAGTGAGCCAGCCGGATTGTCAGTCTTTTTCTTTTTTTTTTTTTTTTTTTTTGGTTAGGTGAATAAATGAAAAGAGAACAGTAATGTGTGCGCGTGTGTTAGTACTTTGATGATTACACGTTTGGAAATGTGTTAGTGCGCGAGTGAATGCGTGTTTTTATTACATTTGTGTGTGTGTGTGTGTGTGTGTGTACGATTTGCGAAATTTTCCGATAATGGCCTATGCGCTGTTGTTTCCTTTTGTGATGATGCTCCCCATAACATAGAGAAGAAGGCTTCCAAGAAAGCGATGATATATCATTTGCGCGGGGGCATACTCTAAAGCACTGATGGTTAACCATGATTATTATGAAATTTTTGCTTATTTCCATGTCAATTCACACATACGCAGTAGTATTGTAAGTATAACAGTATAAGCGATGACAATATATACTGGCAAATGAACATACCTTCATTATACAGTATATGAATGCATTTAATATCGGCATGCATGTGTTTGTTAACTGCCTAAATATTGCATATATTTACATAAAAGTGTAGGGGTGATTTATGTTTGTATGGACACAAACACATATCGACCTAAAATCCGGATCGATGTATATATAATATATATATATTCCAGAATATCAAAAGTAAAATCAACCCTAAAATTTCCACATCCAAATCCATCACCATGGCTGTTGACCTTGTGGCCGCGGCCATCCATTTATTTATAGATATAATAATAATTTTAAGGGAAGATTTTTTTTGTAAATCTTTAAAATTTATCATGTTGATACAGGTTTATTGGAACTGGCACATCGCGAATATCAGGCAGTGGATTATGAAAATGCAGAGAAACATTGCATGCAACTGTGGAGACAAGATAGCACTAATACGGGAGTGCTGTTGCTACTCTCTTCCATACATTTCCAATGCCGTCGTTTAGAGAAATCAGCCCAATTTTCTACGCTTGCTATTAAGCAAAACCCACTCTTGGCTGAAGCTTATAGGTGGAGTTACTGTTATAAACAATACACACCTTTCCGATATGTGTTAGAATTTGCATTTTGTTTGCTTTTAGTAATTTGGGAAATGTTTTTAAAGAACGCGGACAACTGCAAGAGGCTTTGGAGAATTATCGACGAGCCGTGCGCTTAAAGCCAGATTTTATTGATGGTTATATTAACTTGGCTGCCGCTTTGGTGGCTGCACGTGAAATGGAAGCAGCTGTACAAGCCTATATTACCGCCTTACAGTACAATCCAGTAAGATCATTGTTCTTTAAATTCTAATTCAACATTATATCTAATATACATAAATATTCTTTCTATACAGGATTTGTACTGCGTACGTAGCGACTTGGGTAATTTATTAAAGGCTCTTGGCAGGTTAGAAGAAGCTAAGGTAAAATTTTCTTTACAAAGCAAAAACTATACTAATTAAATATTTCGGCTCCCATTTAAAAGGCATGCTATTTGAAAGCGATCGAGACCTGTCCTGGTTTTGCAGTGGCATGGAGTAATTTAGGCTGCGTGTTTAACGCTCAGGGCGAGATTTGGTTGGCTATACATCATTTTGAAAAAGCAGTTACTTTGGATCCTAACTTTTTAGATGCCTACATCAATTTGGGAAATGTTTTAAAGGAAGCCCGTATTTTCGACAGGTAATATTACAGACCTTATCGCTGAAATTAGACTACAGTTTATTTTGGTTTGGCTTTTAGGGCTGTTGCTGCCTATTTGCGTGCTTTAAATTTATCACCCAACAATGCAGTTGTTCATGGCAACTTGGCTTGCGTTTATTACGAACAAGGCCTGATTGATTTAGCAATTGACACATACCGTAGGGCCATTGAGTTGCAACCCAATTTTCCGGATGCCTATTGTAATTTGGCTAATGCTCTAAAAGAGAAAGGACAGGTACGTTGCAATCAAATTATTATGCATTATAAAATATTTGCACAAAATCCGATTTCTTCTACCAGGTTAAAGAAGCCGAAGATTGTTACAATACCGCTTTGCGTTTATGTCCCAATCATGCAGACTCTCTTAACAATTTAGCTAACATAAAACGAGAGCAAGGCTTTATCGAGGAGGCTACACGTCTCTATTTGAAGGCGTTGGAGGTATTCCCAGATTTTGCGGCGGCTCATTCCAATTTGGCCTCGGTTTTGCAACAACAGGGGAAATTGAAAGAGGCTCTAATGCATTATAAGGAAGCCATACGCATACAGCCCACGTTCGCTGACGCATATTCTAATATGGGAAACACCTTGAAAGAATTGCAAGATGTTTCGGGAGCATTGCAGTGCTACACTCGCGCTATACAAATCAATCCGGCCTTCGCTGACGCTCATAGCAATCTGGCTAGTATACACAAAGATTCTGGCAACATTCCCGACGCCATACAGTCGTATCGTACAGCTTTGAAACTTAAACCGGACTTCCCCGATGCCTATTGCAATTTGGCACATTGTCTGCAGATCGTCTGCGATTGGACAGATTATGAAGCACGCATGAAGAAATTGGTCAGCATTGTAGCGGAGCAATTGGAAAAAAATCGCTTACCCTCTGTACATCCGCATCATTCGATGTTATATCCACTGTCACATGATTTTCGCAAGGCTATCGCTGCTCGCCATGCAAATTTATGTCTAGAAAAGATACACGTATTGCACAAGCCACCGTACAAATTTACTAGGGAAATACCCTCCGGTGAACGTATACGCATCGGCTATGTCAGCTCGGATTTCGGCAACCATCCTACCTCGCATCTCATGCAATCTATACCTGGACTGCACGATCGTTCTATGGTAGAAATATTTTGTTATTCTCTGAGTCCCGATGACGGCACTACGTTCCGTTACAAGATTTCAAGTGAAGCGGAACATTTTATTGACTTGTCCACAGTACCCTGCAACGGTAAGGCAGCTGATCGCATCTACAATGATGGAATTCACATCCTGGTCAATATGAACGGCTATACCAAGGGGGCACGGAATGAAATCTTCGCTTTACGGCCCGCTCCCATACAAATTATGTGGCTAGGCTATCCCGGAACCAGCGGCGCTTCTTTTATGGATTATATCATAACAGACGCAGTTACAAGTCCTCTAGAGCTAGCGAGCCAATACAGTGAAAAATTGGCTTATATGCCGTACACATACTTTATAGGCGATCATAAGCAAATGTTTCCGCATTTGAAGGAACGGCTTATAGTCTGCGACAAACAGCAGACAACGGTAGCTGATAACGTGGCTGTAATAAATGCTACAGACTTATCGCCGTTAGTGGAACATACGGCGGTTAAAGAGATCCGTGAGGTAGTCAATGCCAACAAGCCGGTTGAAATCACTCACAAGGTAGCAGAGTTACCTAACACTACTCAGATTGTGTCCATGATAGCCAGCGGCCAAGTGCAAACTTCGTTAAATGGTGTAGTATTGCAAAATGGATTGGCCACTACACAGACTAACAACAAAGCGGCAACGGGTGAAGAAGTGCCTCAGAATATTGTTATAACCACTAGGCGGCAGTATCACTTGCCCGACGAAGCCATTGTTTATTGTAATTTTAATCAATTGTATAAAATTGATCCTCAAACTTTACAGACATGGATGAATATACTCAAAAATGTACCGAACTCCGTACTGTGGCTTTTGCGATTTCCAGCTGTGGGGGAACAAAATATTAAAAAGGCTGTAGAAGATATAGGTAAAAAAGAGTGGGATTTAATAATTTTGAATAAAAGTTAAAAAAAATTCTTTTCCAGGAGTCTCGCCGGAACGAGTAATATTCTCCAATGTGGCGGCTAAGGAAGAGCATGTGCGCCGCGGCCAACTTGCTGATGTTTGCCTTGATACGCCGCTCTGTAACGGCCACACAACTTCCATGGATGTCCTGTGGACTGGCACGCCGGTAGTGACGTTGCCCGGGGAAACGTTGGCATCGAGGTAAGTTGAAAAAAATGTGACCCCAATTCTCTGTGTATTCATTATTCTTTGTTTATAGAGTGGCTGCTTCACAATTGGCTACCCTTGGTTGTCCCGAACTTATAGCTCGTACCCGCCAGGAATATCAAGATATTGCTATACGCCTGGGCACCGATCGCGAATATCTAAAGGGTATGCGTGCCAAAGTGTGGAAAGCTCGGGTTGATAGCCCTCTCTTTGATTGTGTACAATACGCCAAAGGTTTAGAAATGTTATTCATGCGCATGTGGCAGAAATTCTTGCGCAATGAACCACCAGATCACATCTCTGCTATGACCGACAAGTAAAGCGTGACCGCAAAAAACATCACAAGCATCGTTTTCACCAGCAATCTCATATATTGAAAAAAATTTCATTCATACAATGTTTTCCCCAACTTTAGCTGTAATATCGTAGTGAAATAATTGATTTATAGCTAACGAAACACTCATACACACACACAAAAAAGCCCAAAAATAATAATATAGCATAAAATGAAAAAGAACATTTTTTTTATTCAATCAAAATATTCACAATGATTGAATTAATAATTATAGCGATGTTGATAATGATGAGGTAGAGTTAAAGAACAAGAAATAAGCTTTTTTTCTTCAAAATATAAATTTAAAAAACAGTAATTTTCAACACTTAAAATACATACACAGACACAAAAGAAAAAACCAAGGAGCTGAAACTTTATGATAAATAATGAAACGGAATGCAAGAGCGAATCAAATTTTAATGTACTGTACGAATGCAACGTTGCACTCTGCTAAAAATATTGATCGAAATGTTTTGATTCTTGAATGATGAACCAACTAATATCTTTTTAGCGAATCGTCATTCTAATGTATTTATATAAAGTGTTACTATTAATAATTAAATTATAAAAAAAAAAAAAAAAAAAAAATACATAAAATATAAAAATTACTATTACTTTCGCTTCTTGTAGAAATCTAGTAATCTAAACGAACTCTTTGTTGAGCATTCTTACTGACTGTAAATCCTTGGCAGAAAGGAAACAGTTGCATTTGCATTTTGTTCGTTGAAACTGCCATTAACTAAAATAAGCAGCAAGAGGATAACGATCGTGTCGAAAGAACAACAACAACGTTGCTGAACAATATTAATTGAATGTAAAAATCGTGTTAGTAGAAACAAATCAACACACTATATAAAAAAATTATCGCTTCGGGTAGATTGGCATATTTCTAAAATGACGGCGTCATCCACTTGGAAGATGTTTCATATTCCTTTTAAATATTTGCAACCGACCGATTGGTGAGGATGGATCAGTACTTCAGCCATATCTCTTTGAGAAGGTATCTCCCGTACTCGTTGAATTCCTAACTCTCTCTGTCTCTCTCTCTCTCTCTCTCTCTCATTCTCTCTCTTGAAATGCATGCGCAATTCAATGACCATCGATCAAACGTGCAGCGGAAGTCCGCCTCACCCCACCTTATATTTATCAAATTCATTTTGTTATGTGTGAGAGCTAGCTCGATTGTTAAATAATTTATATATGGTACATAGCTTATATATATATGTATGTGTTTTACATACATATATAGTTATTACATATACATTTATTATATATACATAATACTTACATATGTTATGAACATATTTATTATGTATACACCTCCTTTCACTGAGAAATAGACCTACAGGGTCCGATAAATGCGGTTCATCTTAAGTACATGTGGCAACTACGGTTCTCTTAATGGGAAGAGGTCTAATGCATATATGTTGGTATAATTCGTGCTTCTTCAAGAAATTTACTGTAGTTTCTCATGTTTGACAGGATTTTTTTAAGTAGAAGATGATGGATGTTTAAACAATATTTCGGAGAGTTGGACAAATCGTTTTATAAGCAAAATTTTGCGAAAAACTTGTTGTCTTATTATATAAAAAACTCTTTAAGACGTAACAAAATATAAATCAGAAAATTACGTTAGAACGATTTTAATATATATGGAGGCTTCAAATAATCGAATAGGATGAAAAGAATTAGAACACTTAGCTTGTCGCATTCTACTCCCCAAGTCTTTTCATTTGATACCCACATCGATAGTATCGTTCGCATTATAATTAACGCATTCTTAGGCAGATAATATATCTTCGTTTAAGGGCAAAACAGTTTTAAATATTCTGCTTGGCTTACGTTGTGATTTTATCTGCCTGAGTGGGCGAGTAAGCGGTTCAAATGTCAAGGACGATAAATTTTAGCCTTTCAATTTACTTCTCAAGCTGTGTGTATTTTTGCAACAGCTAGAAGCACTTGAGATAGACCTACATTTCGATTCAGGGTCACTCTCTGAATCGGTCTAAGCTTGTCTATCCGTCCGACTAAATTATATTGATAGTTAGAACTTAATTTATGGAGAGGACCATTGGGTGGAACTTAATTTATGGAGAAACCCATTAGGTGGAACTTAATTATAGTAATAATAATAATTCGCAAATTTGCAATTTTCTGCACAACATTATGAACAAATTCTAATCGATGCTTCATCCGGAACTTCGAACTTATATTATTACATATCGTAGTTTCAACAATGGGGAAAAGCTAATGTAGTCATTGTTAAACAAATGGAATGTTTTATTCAAGTCACTTTCAATCTTACAATTTTACAATTTTCTGTTATGCATAATTGTATATGTATGTATTTCTAAATAGCCTAATTATATAGGCAGATAAATTTTAAATATTTTTCAAACACTTATATGTATGTATAATGATGGCTTTTGAAAGGATATCACAATCATTAAGAGAAATAAATACTTATGAGGAGGAGATTATAGGGCACTAACTAAGATGCTAAGGAGAAAATTTTCGTTGAAATTTGTTATTTCAGTAAGAAAAATTTACATAACTAACTAGTTAACTAACATATGAGATGCATAAGTTTAACGTCCTTTAATCTGCCATTATCGGCATTCCTTGGACTTATTGATTTCATTATTCGGGTACCCGAGCATTACAATTGCCATGATACATTTTGATACGTCCTTTGCAAGTGAAATATTTATCAAAGACATCACTGTAGCCATGATCTTTCCACCATGTACACAATTGACGATTCCATACGCAATCCAGACGATAAATCAGATTCGGAAATTCATAGCCCAATAAAGTGAAAAAGTCTTGATCGCCCAAGTGACCTTTAAACATATACTTCGATGTCAATTTACGTATTGCAGTTTCTTGCAATTGGTCGTGATAAAGCCGGGAGTGACGTATAGCAGTGAGGTGTAGCAGCACAACTCCAGAATTGAGACCCGGATAACCATGCCGCAGATGTTTTTCAGATTTTCGCATTTTATGGGTATGGGTCTCAGCAGAAACTAAATTATATAGTTCATTTGGCGACATATAGAAAGGGCTACCAAAGTCCGTGTTGGGAAAATTTGCTCTATACCGATATAAAATATGACGATAGACTGGAGTTAGCTCTGGCGCTAAACCGAAAAGATTTTCTTTGGAGAAACGTTCAAATTCAGCAAAAAGGAGACGTACATCTGCCCGGAAGACTATGTCGCAGTCCAATAAAACAGCCCGTTCCATTCTCTCATCCGCGATGCGATGCAGACCCAACGACAGGAAAAATAAGGAATCGCTGTAATACGATTTCGGTGTAGAACTAAAGTATGGTGTCATAGAATTTACAATATCAACGACACGCTCCGCACACAAGCGCATATTGTATAAGGTATACATAATAGCACGTCTATAACGACGCACTTCCTTTTCCAACATCTGATCTACACTGTGAGCACTAATTTCATCAGTTAATACATGTAGATATAATAAGACGTCAGGTGTTGAAAATTTTAGCAAACTATGTGCAAATAATTCAAACTTTACGTGTAATTGATAATTTTCTTTAGTGTAGATAACAAATATGTTGTAATCTGATGTTTGGCTTCCCGTGATATTAAATATTTCCAAAGCACCCGTTTTTGAAGTAGGCGGTCTTATTAACAACGATTTTATAGCAAGAGCTTTTCTGTTTCCTTCAGTTGATGAAGAAGCGTAGGCATTTGCTAGTGGCAGTGTAGGATTAGTGTTTTCTACAATTATTCTCGTGTGGTCGTCAAATCCTCCTCCACCTACGGGCTCGCTACGATTATTTAAAAACAACGCAAAGAGTGACCTGCGTCCGATTATGTTTGTATTGGCATAAAAAATAACTATACAGACAATAGCAGATATAATTAAAAACATTACTTTAGCCATCTTCAGATGGCCTAATTTAATTATTTTAATTAATTTATCTCCGGGCGACATCTCGGCCATGTTATGTTCCACTGAACACACAAACTATTTTCTATATTTTATACTCTCTCTCCACGTACGTTATTTTCTTATTTATCATATGTTGTTACTGGTTATTACAAAATTTTGCGGTGCATTTTTCCGTATTGTTGCTAGAAAATATCATAACCTGTTTTATCTCATTTTAATGTTGGTAATACCTTTTAACTGGAATGTACGACTCAAAAATACATTAATGTGTCATTTTATTCTTCATTATTATTATTATTTATTATTAACATTATTTATATTTACATGCTTTGATCAGGAAAACATGAGTATTATTTTAGGTATTTACTTTGTAAACTTGGCAACACTAGCAACAGCCGTCAACGAATCGTGCCATTAGTGGTTTTTTTTTATATAAAAATACATCTGTCGATATGTTTTTATGTTAGATTTTTCAATAATCGTATTGTTTACATTTTCATGTAAGCAAATGTACTAAATTATCAATAAATTGTACAAAAAATTTAAAGAAATCAGTTTCTAAATGAAAAAAAAAGTTGTGTTTAAGAACAGTTCCCGATAAATTGCAATACTTTTCAAGAGAAATAAAACAACAACTATTAGAAAGAGAGCAATAGCGTCTCGGTTATCTCTACACAAGATTGGATGAATAGTGAAAGAGACGGCATGTTTTAAGCGGATTCGTACGAAAGGAAATTTTGTTGTTCTGTTATAGTTTTGCATTATTTTTCTCATCTATTCGCTGTAAAAACACAATTGTAGAGTTTTCTTTTGAACAAGAAGCGTTAAAAAAAGAAGCAGAATTATACAAAATAATAAGAAAATTCATAAAGCAAAACTCAACATACACAAGGTATAAGCCTTTGGAATTTGTGTAATAATCTGTCATTGGAAAAAATTTTACGTTCAATTTTCGGTAGTCGTTGCAATCGATCAAATTTCGTATGAAAAAGAAATTTTTTCGTTTTTTTTTGCTTCCACCCGATCTGCTCAATTAAATGATTGAGAATCTTTATGAGTGTGAATTTATTTTTAATTGTGTGCGTGTGTGCAATTATGTGTTTGTGTGCTGCATGCTTCCGAGTTGTTGAAAACGAAAAAGCATAAAGAGAAGATATAAAGAAAAGGTTCTAAATTATTATTAAACCATAAATCTCGGGGAAGCAAACAACAAAACTAGAATATCAATCCATAGAAATTAAAATAAATTTTCCACTTCTGTAGGATAAGGCAAACGAAATTTAACGTCTTGATATTGCTGGCGCTTCTATTAATATATACAAAAGTGAGCAGTTAAAACAACAGCAGGCGTTAAAACAAATTTGACCCGATTACGAGTATTTTGTCATTATTATGAACACAAAGTCTGACGTCAACAGACGAGTTTTGGCTATACAGGCTAAAAAGAAACGTCACAAGCCTAACAAGAAACGCGGCAAGCCAAATGGTGTGTCTGGTGATCAGCCAACCCAGATACAGCCGGTAAATTTAGCATCTCCACCGTCACCACCACAATTGCAGCCAGATGATGAAGTTATTAATAATCATTATGTCGCGGAAGTATATAATAAGAAAACGGACAACGGCGGTGGTATCGGTGGCGATGTTATCGAAACCACTACTATGCGCTATGGTGGCGGAAGTGCTGGAGGCGGTGGTTTGCAATCATCACCTAGCTTGCAATACGACTTAATAGAGCAGCAACCCTATTTGGGTACTCCATCCAACGACTCCGAAGACGAAGACGAGTCCGAATTGAATAGTGAGAATGAAGAACAAGAACTGAAAAAGGATTACCGTAAAGGTGGTTATCATCCTGTAAATATTGGAGATCTCTTTCAAGGTTTGTGCAACTTTATTTTTTTACATAATTCATCCGTCGTTGCCGGATATATGCTTTAGACATCGCCGGCGAAAAATTTAGGTTAATAACGAAATTTGTTTTATTAGTTGGGTGTGTAAAAACACCAACAATACTTCTGGCATTTGTTTTTATTGTCAAAAAAAAAAAAAGAAAAAAAAAAAAAAAACAAACTGATTTGCTTACTACATATTTTTGTTCTCATTCGCTCAATTTTTCCATTTTAAAATACTCTATTACTTCCACACCTTTTTCCGCAGCTTCCTTTTAATGCTTGACAATCACAACATTAACTTTGAAACACAAATTAGAGGCGCAAGAAATTGGAATGAGATGCAGAGCTAATTGTTAAAAACACATAAAAAGTATCTCTAGATTCTTTCAACTAGATGAATGTTCCGAAAGGCATTTCATAGGTTGTGAAGATTACTTAAAAGTAACCCAGGAAGGCAAATAATAATAATAATATAAAGACAATAATTTTTTTTGAAAAATTGGGAAATGTTTTTTTCAACCGTGCTTTCCAACTGGAAATTAATTGATCATATTACCATATATTTAGTGATAATACCAAAATACACAAAACCGAATTCTAAAAACATATGAACACATGTTTTAAAATAACATCTGCGTATTTTTTAGTTTTGCAAAACACACGATTTCGCAACAGTTTTATTCTCTTTGTCATGATGGTTTCGCTATTATTCAGCGTGCAGAGAAGTCTAATTCTATTGGGAGATCGAGAAAGGTCTGTAGGTAAATTGAGCGTAAAGGTTAGGGTTTTCTTCCGCTGTTATAATAGTAACAGTATTTGGACAGTATTCGAAAGTGGTGTGTTTGCGGTAATTTTTGGAACCTCTCCCATATAACATAACGTTTCTACAAAGACTAGAGACTTAGAGGTTTATATAGTAAACAGGGGTAATTTCTAATATTTCATGGCGAAAAGTGATAACAGTAAATTGATACAGAAATCAACCTCATCGCTTATAAGAATTGCTCTAATATGCGTGCTTTCTTGCAAAATATGGATTTATATGAAAATAATGTGTAACTTTTGGTGTATTATTACCAAAAAAAGGGAATAACTCCATTAGGCGGAGTGTACAGGGCATCCGATAGCTACCTTGCTAGATGGCAATGTTCCGACTTGTTCGTTTTCCAATGAATTCATTTGCAAAAAATTTGATCTAGCTGTGGATGAATAGCAAACATTAGCTAGTTATGAACAATTATATTTTTGATTAGCGTGACATTTTGAATTGATTAAGCTATGTCTGCCCGTCTATGTGCGGTGCGTGCTTTGCGCTCTCCTGATCGCAAAGATGAACATATCGATTTTAAATTTGGTAGAAGTGTTCGATGGTTGGTCTTGACAATGGGCCGATTTGGTCAGAGAACACGTCCTTTATCCATTATGGAAAACTTTACTGTTTGCGCGCAAAAATAGAAAAAGGCTGCCACACCCACACAATCTTACAATTGGGTAGATTTTATTTGCTATTATTTTTTTGAAGACCTTATGCTTACGAATCGCAAGGTAAACAAGCCACGATGTGTAAAGTTTTTTTGCTTTGTGCACTCCTCAAATGAAGATATAATATGCTACCTGCGTAATGGGTTAATTCTAAAATAAATGTGGTAGACCCCCGACGATTTGATGGATCATTTTTTCTTAATGATCCTGATCCTGATATGGGTATCAAATAAAAAGACTTAGAGAGCAAAATGCGATAAGCTAAGTATGTTACGTGGTGGGTAAAATTTTGTCTTAACAATACTTTTTAATGAACTAAAAGGTGGGAGATAAACTTTATTCCTTTCTCTTTTATATAACCATAAAAAAGGCATGGGGCGCTAAAGCTTTTAATGGTGGTGGGTATGCGAGATCCGGCATTGAGTTTATGTAAAAATGGACATTTTTATACTTTACACTCATATATATTTTTTTCGAAGAAGAGCGTTCTCTTTTCATGCAGCTTAATTAAGACCAACAGCTTGAGTAGAAGTATCCATATAATACACCGAAGAAACGTAGGATTCGGTTAAAAGTGAATTTAATCCGCTACATTCAATTTTAGTTAGAACGGTTTTAAAGCGAATACGAAAACCTTTACTTTTTCCTGCGAAAATGGAAAAATAAAAAAAATAATAAATATGTTAACCTATATGTTAGGTTACTATTTTATGCAAATCTCCTCCTACATAAGTCCTTCTATGTAAGGATACGTTGGTTATGAATGGTTTTTAAAAATCGAAACTTCAAGCTTTAGAAATTTAAAATCTGAAGAGCAAGACAGTAATATTGCAAGCCTGTGCTGGAATCAAATGATCTTCGAACTCTTATCCCGATGAGAGTAACGAGAAAGTAGGAAATTTAGAAAATGAGAAGAGCAAACCTCCTGGAACTTCGTAAAGTACGGTGCGTAGCACATTGAATATCGCGCAGAGAATATTAATATGAACAATTTTCACGCATCCCCAGCCTATCTCATTGTTTGGGAGGAAAGAAGCTCGATCTATTAATAAATCTAATTACCATTAACGCTGATGGTCATAAATTTTACCTTTAGAATTTATTGTGGCAGATGCTGTGTGGCGATGTGGCGATGGTATAACTATGACTCCCCAGTCTAGATTTCTTTTTTTTTTTTTTTTAAAAAAAGCTTTTTTTTTTTTTTTCAAGTGCTAATGCAACTTGTGCGAGTACTTTCTCTTCGACTGCTCACCACCACAAAGAAAGCGATCATTTGAATTTCCGGCCAAAAATGACTTCTGCACATATTAGATATACCTTTAAATCTATATGCCCTTTATTGGCGACGTCGGTTTTTCTGAAAAGTCATAAAAAAAGTAAAAACGTTGCAATGGGACAATGATCATCATTAAATACCTTACATCACTTCGCCTAATTCAATAATTCATATACCGACTTTTTAAAACGAGATATTATATGAAGAAGTGATGCGATTCGGACCAGGGCGTTGAGTTCGCCCTTGGGGCCAAAACATGTCGGTGTAGCAAATTACACGAAAATATATCACGAAATCCCACGGGTGTGTTGAACGTGAGAACACAAGACGGAGGGACAAGCTTAGAATCAGTTTCAGAATCAAACGGCCTAATAAAACGATGGACTACTCCAAATACCTCCGAGTGTTGCATACCTTCGCACAAACTTGATCTACTTTTTCACCATAAGTAATGTGTAGGGTATGAAATGAAATAACTTGAATAATGCACAACTGATAAGATGCCTCTTCTTTTTGCGCCTTGATTTGCTTAAAGCAAAAAAAAACATTTAGAACGAAATTAAAATGTTTGTCAGTAAAATTAATCAGTATTCCTTTCTTCTTCTTAAAAGCAATCAATATCCAGATTTCATAGTCTGTCAGGAGATAGGGCTCTCTCAATTTCTCTCTTTGATTGCCACACGTGCATAAAGACGGCATGTACTTACACGTTTGCCGCGTCCCAACGATAATTCGTAGAAAACTGATTGCTTCGCCTCTCGCACTTGACATAAACACAAACCGAGTTCACACTTTTTCGCTATAATAATAATAATAATAATAATAATAATGATGAATAAGAAGTAATTTAAACGAATGCCACTAACGATGAAGATTTCACAAAACTGGAAAAACCGGAAGATATTCTGGCATTTGCATCGAAATTGATCAATTGACCAAACTGATACTTGATTCCGTTTTCCAAGTCTAAGAACTTATTTCAGCAGGCGGTAATAGATGATAATACCAATAATGATGATAATCAAGATTATAAATTGGATTCGTATAATGTACGTGATGTCTAGATGCCATACGAGTGAAATTAATACCGGCCGTGTCAACATCATTTTTCACTTTCGGATGCCTGTTTGGAATACGCTTTTTTCGATGGCCATTTATTTAATCGGAATTTGCAGAAAGCTATGCGATAATCGTGTAATAAAACAGCAAACAGCCGAAAAAAAAAAAAATTTAATTTAATTTAGGAACACAATCTCGTACAATAGTTTTGCTGTTATATATCTGCTTGCTTATTTATATGGATTTATATGGACATACATACATGCAAGCATGAGTACTTACTTACTTTAATTGTAACAATGTCATGGGTGGGGTGGTTGCATATATACGTACTCGTATATGCATTATGTGAAATTCTTTAGTTAGCAGCAGCGGGTGGCTGATTATCGTCGTAGGCATAGCAAGGCAGCAATACATTTTGCTGCATTACACATCGCATGTCACATATTTTGCACACTTGTAATCATCGAAAGAGTTCAAAGGCTAATAAAATTGAATGTGTCTTCAGTAGTCTGTCTGTCTGGCCATAAAGCAGAGGCATATTTTTATAACTAGTGCACAGATTTTCTCTCCTTCAGTTATAGTATCATATTAAAATCTCTAAGAAGCTATTTATTTATTTTTTTGTATAAATAATGAATTTATTATGCGATTGTACGAGCTTCACGGATTTCATTTTTTTATTAGGTTTAGAAGAAATGTTTATTAATTTTTTTTTTTTTTTGTTGTTTTTGCTTCTTTCCTTTTAAAATCCTAATTACGTCTAAAATTTTTTGTCGTAGGTCGCTATCACGTGGCGCGTAAATTGGGTTGGGGTCATTTTTCCACCGTCTGGCTTTGCTGGGATTTACAAGAGAAGCGTTATGTCGCGATTAAGATTGTAAAATCGGCTCCGCATTTTGCTGAAACGGCAAAGGATGAAATTAAAATACTCAAGTCTGTGCGTGACTCTGAACCCGAAAATCCCCGACGTCAAAAAACCGTCCAACTATTGGATGATTTCAAGATTAACGGTGTAAATGGTACCCATATATGCATGGTGTTCGAGGTACTCGGCGATAATCTTCTTAAGCTAATACGTAAGTCGAATTATCGCGGTATACCAATCGAGAATGTGAAATCAATTACACGCCAGGTGCTAGAGGGTCTCGATTATTTGCATACTTGTTGCAAAATCATTCACACGGATATTAAACCTGAGAATGTCTTGCTATGCGTGGATGAAGAATACGTTCGAATATTGGCTACTCAGGCTACTGTTTCGTATGTACTGAATTACAAAATGGTTCCTTCGCTGGTAAGTCGCGCTCCCAAAGTATATCGGGAACCGCAGATCACGGACAAGATGAGCAAAAATAAAAAGCGCAAGTTAAAGAAGAAGGCAAAAAAACGTTTAGAATTATTTAAAAAGCAATGGGGTTACTTGGATCAAAAGGAGGTGTCGACGCCAATAGGCGAAAGGGGCGATGCCAGCAATGACTTGTCAGAGGGCGAAGATGATACCGAGGTGCAGGCTTCTTCAAACGGTGCTAATGTAAACAATGTTAACAATATTTTACCCAATGGCGAAGTCTACGATGATATTGATCACGATCATGATCATGAAACCACTGCCGCTGATGAATCTGCAGCCTTAGAAAAGGAAGACGATGACGACGACGATGACATAGTAGGTGATGCAAAAGTTAAATCTCAATTATCAAAGCAGTTATATAAACAGAAATCATCCCGACAAAGTGGCGTCACGTTGCCTGAAGAAATGGTCGCATCTGGCACTAATGTCGAGAATAAGAAAAAGAAACGAAAGCGTAATAAAAGTAAGTTTATCATTGCAGTTCCTTATGTCACCTTGTCATTTCAATTTTTTTTTTTTTTTTTTTTTTTTTTTTTTTTTTGTTAAATTTGCAGAGAAAAACAATCAAAGCAAACAACAAAATTCCGTACAACAACAAAAACTACCGATCACAACTGAAAATTCGACCACATCTTCCACTAGTGGCAATACTTTAAACAGCTCGTACGCTACACTTAAGGTGCAGTCATCAGCCGCCGGTGATTGCGTCAAACGTCAAAAGCTGCCAACAGTAAATGCCAGTAAAATATCCAAAAGTAATAATAATAGCGCTGGTAGTAAGGTGAAGTTAGTCCAAAGCAATCAACTGATGCAACCACAAACACAACCGAATGAACGTTTCGTACCACCGCCCCTTGGCAATTTGAAAACCGATAAAGATCCTGCCCTAGATCCGTGCGAATTTGAAGTAAAAATCGCCGATTTGGGTAATGCGTGCTGGGTGGATAAGCATTTCACTGAAGACATACAGACGCGCCAATATCGTTCGTTAGAAGTAATTTTAGGTAGTGGCTATGATACTTCAGCTGATATCTGGAGTACGGCATGCATGGCCTTTGAATTGGCCACTGGTGACTATCTGTTTGAGCCTCACGAAGGCGATAATTATTCGCGTGACGAGGATCACATTGCACACATAATAGAACTTCTAGGTCCTATACCGCCGCATATTATCTTTCGCGGAGCCCACGCATCACATATATTCAATCGCAAAGGTGAATTACGCAATATAACTGGTCTTAAACCATGGGGTTTGGTCGACGTTTTAGCCGAAAAGTACGAATGGGCACGCGAAGAGGCGGAATCATTTGCTGATTTTTTAACGCCCATGTTAGAATTCGATCCCTCACAACGGGCTACGGCGGGCGAATGTCTCCGACATGCTTGGTTAAGATAAAATATATTGTATTATAATCCCTCTATTACTACCATCACCACCTCATCACCAACAACACCATCCCATGAGAATATGTTAGAAATCCCATTAACCCCGGCCCCTCTACAAAATGATAACGAATGTGGCGAGTTAAATACGCTTGAAAATTTGACTCCAAAGTTTTCGGTACCTTCAACTGCCACTACTACACCAACTCCACCAATGAGTTCGCAGTCCTTATGTGCTGGTCGAAATAATTCAAACACGTTGACATCTAAATTATGGCGTTTAACAACATCAAAATCTTTATCACCAGCACCGGTAACCACGTACAGTGTTGCACACACGTTATGCTGGCATAAAACATTAAGGCGTCTATTTAAACGCAAATAAAACTAGCTGTCATGTGAGATTGGGAGCTACATAAATGAGAGGAATACAAGAGAAGAAACTTTTGGTTTTTATAGTAGCGGAAATTTAAAAAATATTGTCTTTTTCCCCTCTTTTATTTCAAGCTCTCCTTGACGTAAACGTAAACGATCAGAAATCTACAAAAAAGGCAAAAAAAACTAATATTTTCTCTCTGTTTTCTTGTCTCCCAAAACGAAACATTTATCGCCGCAAATCGAGATTAAGAATCTTAACACTTAATTAACTTCAATACTATTTAAATTGAAAATATCTAAAGATATATACTTTGTTTTCCCTTCCTCCTTTTACTTTTCTATTAATATAAACATTATGAACGAACAAATTTTTGGATAATTTTAAACGAATGATAAAACTAATTACGCAGCAAATTATGGTTAAGACGATAAATAAAATGGCTTTACGCATCTATAGAAAATAAAAACAAAAAAAAACAAAAAAATATGTATAATTAAAATATACGTCGTAGTTAACAATAAATATTTGGTTTAAAACTCACAGGCCATGTTAGGCACAGTAAGAAAAAATTGAAAAAAAAAAAAAAAAATGATGACTTAGACGGATGTTGATTATGTATTTAATAGTTTGAAATTATAAAAAAAAAAAGCACCAACAAATTTAAACGAAAATATTATTTAATTTAATTTTAAATGAAATAAAAACAAAGGTATAACTAAAAACGATATCATACTTAAAATACGTTCTCTTTTTTGTCACAACATACAAAAAGGTTTTAACGATTATCCTTCCTGCATACGTTTTTTTTTATCATTTTCTATAAAAATTTTTAAAAAATTTGATTGACTCTTTTCGATACGGCGTGAAAAAGCCACATGTACAAGCTGGTATACCGGAATAGAAATGCACAAAAGTAAGGGAAAACATTTTTTTATCTGCAGATGCATAAAAAAAATCAGTAAACTAAAAAAAAAATACATCATAGTCTAGAAAATAACGCTGCTCCCATTAGTTGGTTTATTTACATTCGAAAAGATAAGACATTTTAAAAATCAATGAGGGCAACTTATTAGAGCAATACAAGCGTATATATATATGCAGAGAGAAAAATGATTACGTATTTTATGCGAGTAGAAGAAATTTGGAAGAAAAAATTGTAATTTAACTTTAAGAAATATTTCTACAGCGAGCCATTCGTATATAAATAAAAAAGAAATAATAATAATAATAATAATAATAATAAAATTTACTAAACGAACTAAAAAAATAGAAACATCTACTAATAATAACTTGGACTTTACCTCTTTTTTTTTGCAATTGCCATAATTTTCAAGTTCAAGAAACTTGATCGTTAATAATCCGTTTTGATCGCTGACTTCACCTTTCGTTTCCACATCTGGGTTTTCCTAATAACTAAAAGACTTTAAAGCATTATTTAAGGCGTACGAAATGAAAGAACATAAAAATTTAAATTTTTCACTTAATTCGTTAGACAAAAACGTCGTTAACATATATAATACGAAATTATAACAAATCTGAGAGATTATGAAAAAAAAGAACACACGCAACAAGTAAAATTCAGTTTCTTTCATACGCAAACGAAAAATTTTGAAAAATAAATCCACAGAAAGTGAAAGTAAAAAAGAAATTCGAGAAATGATCAAATTTTCTAATTTATTTGCTTATGCGTGTACCATCTTCTACTTTTACTTTGTGTAGATTTATATTGAAATTTATGTGTGAAGCAACAATTTACCGGAAATGAATTCATACCAAGTTGCCTTAACCGATTATTTTCTCTTTGATTTAATTAACTTCTTTTCTTTTGCCTGTATCGCTCTTATTAACGAAGTAAAAGTATAATTAACATGTCTTTTTATAAAAAAAAAGAACCTAAATAAAATAAGATAATGCAATCTTAGAAACAAAAAAAAAAAAAATTGAATGTACGTAAATACGAAATAATATATTAATATTGTGTAAAGTATTAGTTAATTCAACATAAACACGGTTGAATATATAATATATAAAACGAATCCCCTAGATACACCTGAAGAATGCACATCGGCAAAGAAAAGAAACAGAATAAATATAAGTTTAACTATCAATACCTATAAAAATGCATCGTAAAAAAAATCGAGTAAAGAAAAAAAAAAAAAAAGAGTTGATAATAAAAGTTTAAAATTGTAACTTAAAAAATCCATTGAAGCGGCTTTCTATTTTGTAACTGTCCTTTGAAATTTGGTAGTCTGGCAAGTCTTTTCAGAAAAAAGTGTTTATCATTGCGATTTTCTTTGTTTTGTTTACGGAAGTAGGCATAAATTAAAAGTGTTGCCAATTTTTTGCATGAAAGGAGGCTTTGTTTTGAAAAATGCTTACATGAAATTTATGAATTATTTTTTTGTTCCCAATTGAAAGTGCTATTAATATGTCATTATTATTATAAATAATAGTATGAGATATTTTCGAACTCTAACTTAAAATCAGCATAAGAGGGTAAAGCTTATTAGAGATTTTCTGCGTTGACATCACTGCTCACAATGACAATAAAAACACGGTGAAACAAGAATCAACTTAATTGAAGTATATACGTTCCAAAGAAAATTTATAATATTGTACATATCGAAAGTGAGAATTTGTTAGACGAATTTTCAACCGTTTGTGTCTTGACGATTGATAAAATTCTTTTTGCGAAAACGGTTTACGGTTGTAAGAAAAGAAAAAGCAGGAAAAAGTCCAAGCAAGAACAAGACAAAATCAGCTGATAAAGGGAGCAAAAAAGGAGCCCATTAAACAACATAGAAAACAAAAGAATTTCAAGTTTTTTTTCGGTTCGTGTTGTTGCTTGTAGGAGTATTTCTCTTCTTCGTCGTCGTGTACAAAATTAAATAAAATGTCTGAAAAGGAACAATTAACGTACAAGATGAGCGAACTGACCCAAGAGGAGGTAAGAGTTTCTAAAACTTAATTATGATCCTTTAACTTTTCCATTTCTCTTCAATTTTCAAAATTGGTCGACTAGATAAGAGAACGTCGATTGCGTACATTGGCCGCAAATAGTAATTTGGTTAAAAATTCGAATACAACAACAACGGCAGCTGCGATAGCGGAATCCGCTTTGTGTTCAACGCAAAACGTAGAAGGTATGTTCTATTTCGTGTGAATATATGCATAACATAAAAAAAATAGTAGCGTCATAATGTGATTTTTTTAAAATATCATTGCGGCGCATTTGTTAGTGTCCGGTGTACGTTCGGCTACTAATCTTTCAAATACCTCCCGGCTGGTGCGGGAAAGTGATCACACGGCTTTAGAGGGAGAATCAGTAGTGACACAGCCAATCGATGATTTAGGGGAAAATAAAATGGAGGTAGATGTTGAAATGAAGTCACTAACTACTACGCCGACAAAGAGCAGTCCTCCAAGTAACCAATTGATGTTGGCGGGTTTGGTGAAGACTAATACTGACGTTGATGCAGATAAAGTTAATGCTAGCATCGAAAATATGGAAACTTCCGAACAGCCATCTCCTGTAATTACACCGCAATTATATTATCCTGTCACTGAAAAAACTTGCGATCAACGAATAGAAGACATGATTTCTAAGATACTGAACGCTTCGTGGAATGTGGAATGTTCGGGTTCAATGATTTGTCCCCAAACTGCCAGTTTCATAGAACAGCATGCTGAAAAGCGTTACGACTTTGAGACCATAATACATTGCGTCCTTATGGAATGTGTTTTAAAATTATACAATGACGAAGTAGAGTTGAACGAAGGAGCTGCAGCAGCTACCGATGGAAATACAAGTCGCGATATATCCAGTAAAAATGAGACAAATGCGGAAAGTGCGGCTGATGGAAGCATTGAAACTACCACGCCTAATTTATCGAAATTTTCTTTTTCGGCGCCGAAAAAGATCAAAAGTGATGATACAGAAGTTCAGGAGATCATGGCTAATGCCAGCAATCAAGACCAACCGTCGACTTCCCGTAACTTACAAGTCTGCATTGTTGGCACCGAACTGTTCACATCATGTCCCACACCTTCTTCTACGATATTTTCGCCGATGACTTTAGCCAAAAATAACGTAATCATGCATTTAGTGCGATGCCATCAAAGTTATCAACAACAAAAGGAGAAAATTAATGCCAATGCTGTTCAAGAGCTGCTTCAAGACTTAGAAAAGATTCAGAGCACGTTGCAACTTATTCTGGATCTAATAATGCGTGTCACTATTTTGGTACTTACGGATCGCATCTATGAAAACTACAATTTAAATTTGGATCAATCTGCTCTGTTAGAATTATGCTATCAGGATCGCATTCCTGATGATTTCCTTTACGACTTAATAGCAGAATGCTATCACCAGCCAGCCGAATTCGATCAGATATTCAGTCAATTGTTGCGCGGTCTTTTTCTTGGTATGCAACGTACGGTTTTCACACCAAATGTAATAACACATCATATGGAGCTGCTAAGTAAATTGGTAGCCATCAAAATCGGGACAATACGACCGATATGTGATTTAGTTATGGCTCAGAAAAATTTTCTACCAGAACGATGCACAATGATACCAGGCCGCGAAATAGTGAAGACAAGCTTTTTGGGCCCATTCCTATCAGTATCATTTTTTGCCGAAGAGAATATACATTTTGCTGAAGCGAACGTAAAATTTGATTCTTTGTCTTCGGGTCCTGAAAAATTTCGATGGGTAAATATGGGAAAAGTATACTTAGAAAAAAAAATTGTGTGAAGTTATATTTGACGTCGAGAAAACTTTGATACCTATTATATCAAACTAATCCATAGAAATGTATTTCTAACACGGGCGTATCAGTAAATTGATTTAAAAAGGTCCCCCGCTTGACTACAAGAAAAGGGTTTAGTTAATCCCTCAACTGCAGGACAATAGTTGAGGACAATAGGATCCTCCAGATAGTCTTCTTAAATGTTGAAACCAGATTGCACAGAAAGTTTACCTATGAATTCAATCTTTAGTGTTTACCTTTGTGATTCAGTTAACGAGCAGATAACGTCCGCTTCCATATGTCGAAAAAGCGCGCATATGATATGAGTTTCTATGGTTGTTGCTGGATAGATAGACGGACTGACGTACTTGGGGCAACGAAACATATACTAATCAACAAACTAAATACTTTGGATAAATTTAGCCCGCCCTATGGTGGTGGTGGATGTAAAAAAGAAAAAACAGGAAATGAAAAATGGTTTTTTCTTTGTTTTTTGTGTGGATGTTAACGCATGTGTTTATTTGTCTTTCTTTGCTTTTATTATATTTAGCAACTATTTACGATGCGTCAGTTGATGCATTCGGTTTTTCATTCGTTGTTTGTTAATGTCAACAGCCGACCGAAAACTCTGAAATATATTGCTGAGATATTGTGTCACAATCAGCGACGAGTGCAATTTGCCAGTGATGAGAAAATGTTAGCACGCGACGGTTTAGTCATTAATCTAATGAATGTCTTACAACAGCTATCCGTTAAAATTAAATTGGATCGCATCGATCCGCAATATCCGTTTTACCGCGATAGCTTGATAGAAATTCACGGAGATACCCGATTACGTTTTAATCGCGAAGAATCTGAGAAATTCTGGATAACTGAATACATACATACCGCATCCAATCCCAATTTTCAAACGCATTGTTGGTTTTTAACATTGCAAGCCCATCACTTGGGTTTTATGCCAGCCATACAACGTTATCGTCAGAAGTCCAGAGCCATAAAAGAACTACAGAAGCTAATCGGGGAGCTTGATCGTACCAAGTCTCATTGGGAGAATACCCCTTACGCTTCTCGTAACAAGCAGTTTAGAGATCGTTGGCATAAACAATTAAAAAAGCTTACCAGGTTGGGAAGTAGAAAATTTTTTAAGCCGTAACTAATTAACGATGATTTCTCTTCTTTATTGTTTGGTCATATTTTAGATCAAAACTGTGCAGTGAAGTATGCCTTTTAGATCCGGCCTTACTAAATGCGTGTTTGTTCTTCTATTCGACTGTTTGCGAATATCTGTTGTATCAGATGGAAGGTCGTCCCATCGATGGTCCATTTATGTCCAAAATTCCAGCTCAGCAACTAAAGCCGACTGATATTTTCTCTGCACTGCCTGAATGGTATATCGATGATATTGCTGAATTTATATTGTTTGCTATGCAACATGCAGCCAATGAAGTGCGCCATAGCATCGATCATTCAATTTTGACCTGGTTACTAACTTGTGTGTGCGCACCGCATCTCATCAAGAATCCATATGTCACTGCCAAATTAGTTGAAGTGATGTTTGTCTTTTCATTGGGGCCATCAAATGTGCTTAATGTCGCGGTAGGTTATCGTTAGATACGTGATTAATAAGCGAGTGCAAAAACATGTTCTCATAATTGCAGATGTGGAATCATGAACTGGCTCAGACTGTTCTGTGCAGCTCATTAATGAAGTTCTATGTTGATATTGAAACGACTGGACAAAGTACTGAATTTTATGATAAATTTACAATAAGGTAACAATACCGATATGGATGTCAATACTCGTTTTACATATCACTAGCATTCTAATCACTTCAGATATCATATAAGTCATCTTTTTAAATCAATGTGGGAAACTCCCGTACATCGTCAGGTCATGATTACTGAATCGAAATCGGGTAAACAATTTGTAAAATTTGTTAATATGCTGATGAATGACACTACTTTCCTGTTGGACGAATGTTTGGAAAATCTTAAGCGCATACATCAAACTCAGGTATAATGTACTTTATGTAGTGAGCGATTTCGAAGATTGTATAAAACTCGTCACATTCAGGTTTTAATGATGAACGAGCAGACGTGGTCAAATTTGGGATCGGAACAGCAACAAAGTCGTTTATCGCAGCTTGCCACGGATGAACGTCAATGCCGTTCATATCTAACATTAGCTCGCGAAACTGTAGAAATGTTTCATTATTTAACAGTGAGAAATTTTCATTTGCTTAGAAAGATATATAGAAAGATAGAAAGTTAAGGATAATTTCTATTTTTTGTTATAGGTTGATATTAAAGAGCCATTCATGCGAGATGAGCTCGTAGACCGCCTAAGCTCAATGTTAAATTTCAATTTGCATCAATTATGTGGACCCAAATGCAATGATTTAAAAGTGCGTAATCCGACCAAGTATGGTTGGGATCCCCGGCGATTATTAGGTCAGATATTTGATATATATTTACGTTTGGACTGTGATAGATTTGCGCAAGCTTTGGCTGCCGATGAACGTTCCTTTCAAAAACATCTTTTCGATAATGCAGCCAGTCGCATCGAGCATTTAAGAATACGTTCAGTTATTGAGGTGGAGAAATTTCGAGCACTCATTAATAAAGCTCACGACATTTATGGTAAGTTTTTATATACCCACTATAGAAAGCATAGAGCCTACCGCGAAGGCACATATAACCTCGATCAGCAGGACGAGTGAAGTAGTTTTAGCTGCATAAATAACTCTTAGACTCGGCTTAGAGAACTAAAATGTCTAACATCAATTATATGTTGTTTATTATATCGTTTGCATTGCTTACGCTGAGAGTATTCAGTTTTGTGCGGTTGTATGCAACACTTCGAAGTAACTGAACAATAATTTTGACACCGGTCGAATCGATCTAGTTCTATCCATGCGTTCTTTGTGTTTTTTGTCTGCAATTTTCGAAATATTTTCGTGAAAGTTGATACATATGATAAATTTTGTCCCAAGGATCAAATTTATTGGAAATAGATTCTTTGATACCTTCGTTATCCTTCAGTAAAGTTGTATTGTGAAAATAATTTTACAATTTCTACTATTTCACGATCTGAAAATTGAAATCAAGTGGATTGGCGTACTAGATGAATGCGGGAAAGTTGCGAGGGTGGATTTAATATGTCGAAGCACCATGAAAGGCTTCTCGTGACAAAAAAGAACGCCTTACGTGGCGGCAAAGGATAAAATTTTGATATTTTGTGACGAAATCGTTTAAATAAGATAAGGATAAGGATTATATAAATTTCAGTTTTAGTTTGCGAAAAAAGCTATGAATTGTTCATAAAAGGCCGAAAGGACACTTAAAAGTTGTATATGTTTGTTAGATGTAAAGAAAAGTTCTTTCTCGGTTTGTGTTCTGAGAAAAGAGTCGTTTCAAATTGCTTTTTTATTTTTTAGTAGCGAATCAACAATCGGAAGATGAGTGTGCTGATGCTCCTGATGAATTTAAAGATCCCCTCATGGATACTCTAATGTCGGACCCCGTTATTTTGCCGTCGGGAACTATAATGGATCGCGCTATTATTACGCGTCACTTACTAAATAGTAGCACGGATCCCTTTAATCGTCAGCCTTTAACCGAAGACATGCTCGTGCCAAATATAGAGTTAAAGGAACGTATAGATGTCTGGCGGAAAGAGCAACGCTTCAAAAGGCAGCAGCAAAGAAACTTGAATTTAAACGATAAAAGCTCTTGAATTTATAATATAATAACAAATTTTACAAGCATATTAGTTAGTTTTCCCTTTATATGTAATTATTATAATTCTGTATTTCCTCTTCACTCACTATCTTTTCCCAAGTATTCAAATGTAGTTTCTTTTTATTGCTATAAAAGTTTTTTTTTTGTTTTCTTTTGGTTTTTTCCTATTAACAATTTGTCTTCGGTCCTCTCGTCTGGTAATAATATTGAAATGTATATTTTAAAATCTGTTTAGATTTGAATTCTGTTCACTTTTGTCACATACGCGTAAGCGTATGTTAAACAAAACGTTGCTTCATATCCGTTGGCGACAAATGCTCAACCTATTTGCATAAATATTTTTATTTTGTTCACAATGTGCGTGTGCCTGTCTTGTGTGTGTATGCGTGTATGTGTGTGTGTGTTGTGTTCGTACGGTTGAATGAGGACTTTTTATCTTGCATACTTAAAGGAGAAAAATAAATATGAGGTAATTAATAATGCAATAATGCCTTGTAATTTTTACCAGTCCATCGTTTCTAAAAAAAACAAAAACAAAAAAGATAAATTATATATGTTATTGAGCAGCGAGCGAGGTTAGACAAAATTTAGTAATAGTACTTAATAAGTAAATCAATATATATTGAAATTATCATCCATTTATATATAAATATACATACATACATTCATGCGTTTAAAAATTTATGTTATACAAAATATAATACACACATACATACATTTCATACATGAAAGCATACGAAAACATAAATAAATAAATGCTAATGATTTCAATAAACAAATAAATGAAATCGAACTTATAGATGAACTTACATATAATATTGAAGGAGACTCCATCTAGATTACGCATATCCAACACAATTAACGAAAAAAAAAACTTCTTCTCCTTTGATTTTGAGTTTCCAAATTTTTTCTTTATGATTTCCGAATACAAAGCACATCAACAATATGAGTCCTCATGAAATTTGTTTATATGAATTCTGAAAATTTTTTAAATGAAAATTGCAACAAACTGCTAGCCTGCATAACTAAAGCGAAGAATGCGAGGACATTTTGTACTATGCCTTACTGTTTGAAAGATATTGAATTGCACGCTATATGTTCCAAATAGTTTGCTTTTATCGCTAATTAACGAAAGGATCTCAAGCCAATTTAGCCTCTGCCATCCATCAGTACATTTTTTCACAATACCAGAGTTCGGCACCATATGGATTAACAAAGAATCAGAATAAGAACTGTACTTACGAGTGATAACATTGTTCGTTAGAGTGAGAAAGTGTGCTTGCGCCAGACCAGCATTGAATATTCTGAACACGTCCTGGTGTGTATGTTCATTTTTCCCTTTATTTTTTCAAATGTGGTTGCAAGCAATGCGTTTTACGTAAGCATTTTCTTAAGCACCTTTTAAGAAAGGAGTTTACAACAAATACATCTTCTATTTCATAAATGAGTCAATAAGTGACGGTCGGTCGTCATGAAAAGCGGTGTTCTTTTAATTTTGATTTATTTCAGCTGCCAAAATTATTTTTAAGAATACTTGAAAGAATTTATTTTTTATAGCGAACTCGAGGAAAAGGGTTCACTAAATTTTATAATCTAATCTCTGAATTAGATAAATGAAACTTTTCATAACAAAATTCGAAAGTGAACACAATATCCCGAGTTTAATTTAATTCGGCTGCATTGCTTTGATTTAGAAAAGCGAACTTTCGAGATTTTATCGTTCATAGAAACAGCAATTAAGAGTGAACCTCACTTCAAGCATTTGCCTCTATTCTACTCGACAATTTAATTGCGGCTCTAACAGGCAGTGGTGGTGGCGGTAGTGGCGGTAGTGGTGGTGGCTATGGAAGTTTCGCCCCAAATCGAATATAATATTTGTATTTGCTCTTGTTTTTTCTGGCTTTTTCTACTCTACATTCGATTTTTCTCCTCTAAGGACAATATTTGTCTTCAAGTTACAATCTGTAATTTTTAGGGAAATGTGTGTTACATTTTGAAGCATGTTTGTAAAGTGTTTTTTTTTTTTTAATATCTACACATATACATACACCTAAATTTATTTAGATTTCAGGCCCAAGATTTCGAAATTGATTTTCTTATATAATTATCTAAAAAAAAAATAGTTTGTGGAAAATTACAAATAGGTTTTTTAATGGCAGGCATAAATTTTACCAAATTTAAATAATAAAAAAAAAATAAATAATTTTTTTATGCTAGTCTTTTAATAATAGCAATCAATAGTATACTGTATACGCAGACCGTTATTCGCATCGCGGCGTATCGAAACTGTGTTTTTAACGCAAAGTTTTTATTTTCCTATTTTAACTTAAATATCCTATAAATTATGTCGAACATAATTTAAACTTAAAAATAACATTAAACAAAAAACTACGTACGATCTTGTGTCGAGACATTATTCGCGCTATATCGAAATCAAGTCACAAGATACGTTCAAATAAAGCAATGCAATGCCAAGTCTTAAGGTGTAAAATTTTATGATGAACCTCCTATGATGGAAGATTGTTCCATATATATGTATATACAAATGAAAATGTAAGCTAACCTCAAGTTTTTATAAGAGAAAGAAATATGAAATCGAAGTTATGGTCAAATACAAAAATTAAAAATATGTTCAATAAATAAAAATGGCGATCACCATCACGATCACAATAATGTTTATTAAAAATTCCAACCAATCTATCTCCCATTCTCGAAATTGTTCGAAACTCCCCTCAGTAACGATAAAATAAATATAAAAGACAAAAAACTATTGAAAAAACACATGTCTTCTCACATTTTGAAATCATATTGCATCAAAATGCGCATTTCTACCTTGTGGCAAAAGGGAATGAAAATTTGCTCGATACCCGCCTATAAAGTCAGCTTCGTTAAGCAGAGCTTGTATTGAGCGGAGCTTAAAAACAGGCCAGGATTAATGGAAGAGCAAGTGTACGATTGAAAGAGTAAATATACATACAATCAGCCAATCGACTTTACAAATATTGAGTTTACGTGATTTGTCCCCCGGCACTCAATAGTACGTCAGATCACTCAAGGCGTCACTCAATAAGTACGTAAGATCGCTAACAAAACAATAACTTTTAGGCAAAATTTCAGTTTATTCGTTAACATAATTTCCTTCAAGGGCAATACATTCGTTCCATCGCTTTTCTAACATTTCTATGCCTTTCTTATAGAAGGATTTGTCCAATCCTTGAAAGTACGCCTCAGTAGCGGCGATAACTTCTTCATTGGAGCCACACCTTCTCCCGGCGAGCATTTTTTTGAGATTCGCGAACAAATAATAGTTGCTAGGAGCTAAATCTGGAGAATACGATGGATGCGGAAGCAATTCGAAGTGCATCTCGTGCAATTTTTTCAGAATTGGGGTCGACTTATGATACGGTGCATCGTCTTGGTGAAAGAGCACTTTTTTCTTCCTCATTTGGGGACGTTTTTTTGCAATTTCGTCGTTCAAACGCACTACTAACGCTATGTAATATTCGCTATTAATGCTTTCCCGCTTATCAATGTAATCGGCGAATATTATACCATGAGCGTCCCAAAATACGGACGCCATAACCTTCCCAGTAGACTTCTGTGTTTTTGGTCGCTTTTGACGGCTTTCGTCGGTCACTGAAGTATAGTGATGAATCCATGTCTCATCCATTGTCACATATCGCATGATAAAGTCCTCTTTATTTCGCCTAAGCAGTTCCAAACAACGTTTTGAATCAGTAACACGTTGCTGCTTTTGATCTGTTGTCAGCAAACGGGGCACCCACTTCGAACAGAGCTTTTTCATGGACAAATGTTCATGCAAAATAGTGAACACACTGCCTTCTGATATCTTCAAGGCGTCAGCTATTTCGCGCAGCTTCACTTTCCGATCTTCCAAAACTATTTTACGAACCTTTTTTACGTTTTCCGGAACAACTGCCGATTTTGGGCGACCAGAGCGTTTTGCATCATCGGTGTTGGTACGACCGCGTTTAAATCCAGCATACCAATCAATAATAGTTGATTTCGCTGGTGCAGAGTCTCCATAACGCTTATCGAGCCACTGTTTGGCTTCAACAGTGTTTTTCCCCATCAGAAAGCAATGCTTAATTAACACGCGAAATTCGGATTTTTCCATTGCTTTGAAAGGTACAATAACAGCGTTTTAGCGTCGCTAAAACAAGTGCCACCTGTACACTAATTGTGTGAGAAGAGTATCAGGAAATTTTAACACGTATCCTTCGAATGTTGGTACTATCCAGAAATCATATGAGTCTGTCAACAGTGTTACCACACATGTGACCGAAGACTTATTGAATGATGTATTGTATCTTTAAGACCTGGGACTTATTGAGTGATGCGTTGTATTCCATTCCTGATATCGTTAAAGTGTCAACTATGTCTCACACAATTTCACACTTTTATCTTCCAAACGATTTTGTGTACTTTCTTTATGTTTTCTGGAGCAACTGCCGAATCATGGCGACTAGAGCGTCCAGCAACATTCCCGTTTCACCGCCTTGTTGGAGCGGAGCCTAAATAACACCCGCCAAGCTATTCTTTTCCTTTATTTCTTCGCTTGGAAGGTATTTTTTTGCCGTTGAAAGACAACGCTTTATCTATACCTGAGATTCAAATTTTTCGTTGTTTTAAAAAGTACAAAAGGGTCGGTCGTCAATAAAACAGCTGCAATTTTTTCTTCATTATTTTCTTCAACTCAGAAAGTCATCGACGGACCCAATTGATTGACCGCGGAAAGTGTAATAATTTCAAAATGAATAAGACGTTTTTTGCCTGAAGCTGTAATAGTCCTAATGGTCCTAATGTCTTGAAATTTCGCCACACTTTGTCTAAATCTCACATGGATTTCGTCAATAGCGACGACATAAATTTGTGCTCCTAAGAACAGTCGATCACAATTGAATTCAAACATTATAAACATTCTGAAAACTCTATACAGACTTACTGTACAACAACATCATTTCGTTTGGTTACAAACGGAATGAAGACATTAAATCACAGGCGTATGTGTAGCAAATGCAACGAAAAATTCACCAGAACTTGAAACTTTGAAACCCTGTCCGCACACCGAGTCAGCTGATTGCTATTAATTCGAAATTTTTTGGAAATTAAACTGCAGAAAGAAAAAAAAAATTGAAAATAGAAAGACTTGTACATGAAGAAAATCGCTATTTGGGAATGCATTCGGTGTAAGCACATATGTGATTACTTTTATCACACTAGAATATTAATTAGAGTATATAGTACCCGTTTAGGCAAAATAAAATATCTTTGTGCTATTTTTTCCTTTCTCTTAAAGAATTAATGAACTGGGTTTTCAAGCGGCGGCAGCCGCGGCAGCTGCTGCGGCTGTGACGTCGAATATGCACTTTGCTGCAGCTGCCGATTCGATTGAATCAGAAAATTTAGATCAGCGGCCGTTCTCGATAGAAGATTGCGGTTTTATGGATCCTGAAATGCAGCATACAATGCGAACAATAGATGATGCCAATGAATATCCCAAGTTCGGTTGGGTTGATATAACTTCTGAGTTTATGTCGGCGTGCTCGGAATTAAATTTAGGTGAATTGGCCCAAGACATGTTATTTGGTCTATTTGAGGCTATGTCAGCAATTGAAATGATGGATCCGAAAATGGACGTGGGAATGGGCTATAATCGCAACGATACGAAACCGCATACCTTTGAAACGGCAGTTGACGTAACTTATATATATATATATCTGTTCCAATAAGATGACTAGTAAAGAATTTGCTTTCTTTTTTCTGCGTTAAGGCTGGCGTTTTAAAGCTAAACAATCTCTCCTATGAGGATCTGATTGGTATCTTTGACGCGTTGTTTGCTTGTATGGTTTCTTGGCTGGAGGGTAATTCCATGGATCAAGTGCTATTCACATGTTTGTATTTACACGCGCCAGCTAAAATTGAAGACAAAGCATTGCGGTCCTTTTGCCACGCGGTACGCCATTTAATAATACACATTAAAAATATTATTATCTCAAGTAGCGTTAACGAAGAAGAGGACTTTCAATTATATGGTAATTCATCGCTGTTGGCCAACGAAGAGTCGCCGTCAGCGTCGTCAATTGGCGGACTGTTAAAAGAAAGTGAAGACGAATTGGTTAGACATAGCAAATCATCGAATCAGCCCGAAGATATAATGGCCGTTGTACATCGTTTACGTTTTATGCGTCATTTCTATCAGTCGTTGTATTTATTTGACTATGCCATGACTAATTCCGTCGATGAAGGCAATATCAATGAGATTTATAAACATTTGAATGCTTCCTTAGAGCTAATACCGCAAATCAAAAAAACCATTGAAAAAGGTACACAACCTATATCGGGCTGTAAGTAAGATAAAGAGAAAATAACCAAAGAAAGGAGAAATACGATGATTGTTTCCATATTTAAGCCGATTGTCCTAATCCAATGGGCTTCTCGCCGCGCATTCATGATCGCAGTCAGCCGCCCACGTTTCCTCGTAGTGTTAAAATGCGTGATCGCCCCTCCAGCCTAATGTTCCTAGAGGAGTTAGTGCAGCGTTTGAAATATTCATGTAAAATTATACGTATGCGTGATTACTATACTGCTTTGGTAAGCTTCTAATAATTCGGAAGCCATATTTTGTTTCTGGCGTAAATTTTTTCACGTTTTTTCAGAACTTTTTTATAGAATTCAGTCGTAAGTCGGGCCACTGCATATTATCCCGTAGCATTCTACAGGGTTTGTTCATTTCGAATAGACGTCTGATTTTTGGATCGATGCAAATTAAAGATTTTCTTTGGGATTCGGTGCGCGCTTTCAATAATCCACCTGTAATGAATCCAAAAAATGCTCTAGCTGCTGACCGTGACATTCAAGTGATGCTGGATAATTTTTTTAAATACTGCTCGAGTACTTTTACTCAATTTATACGAATTTGCGGCTTCAATCGGGCGCGTCAACGCGATAAACTGGCCCGTTTCATAGAAAGTTTTGACAGCATTCAAGTAGAGGCTGCTAGGCTCGACTCACAACTAAGTTTAATGTCCAGTGAAAAAGCGGCTGAGGGCAACGGGGCAGCCGCTACAACACTAAAGCATAGTGCGCAATTTGCTACTTGGGTTTTATATAATTGCTTTCGATCGATGATGTTATATTTGATGTCCGGTTTTGAATTGGAATTGTATGCGGTCCATGAATTTTTATATATATATTGGTAAATACTGCGTGTAACAAAATCGCTGAAATTTTATAAACTCTGAATTTGCAGGTATCCCTATGAGCTTTTGATTGGCTTCATTGTTTCTGCTTTAACTCGTACTGAGAATAATTTGTTGGTTCAAGAAGAATACGCCGATCATCAGAGCAAACTTCAGGCTGGGTCCAATAGCGGCGGTGGGTCGAGTAAAAATCGCCCAAAGAATAAACCAAAGAAGAATAAAAAGCAACAAAAACCTTATCGACAGGAGATTGTCTATTATCATGCTATGCTTAGCATGTGTGGCGGATTTTATAAGGCGATAGGTGCTTTAACCAAAGACGGTCGCATACGACAACCTATGCCAAAATTTGACAATGAAGAGATACGTTTTAATCGCCGTTTCGCTCCGTTTGCAAATCTCACCAGCCCTCCGCCGGTAGGCTATGAAGAATTTAAAACCTTTCGCGAGCATATGATGAGACCTCCATCATCAGAGATATACTCAATAGCAGCTAAACACTTCAATCAGGCCCGCAATGCTTTGGAATCAATACAAAATCCTGAACAAGAGGTTAAATTACAATATTCATAAGAAAAAATTCTTTTTTAAAATTCTTTCTCATTCCGCCAGATTCTCGATATGTTGCAAGTGGCTAAAATTAATTATGTCGTAATGAACGTTTTAGCTAAAGGGCACCAAAAGGATTTGAAACGTCAACCCGATTTTGATTTTAGTAAACATCGTCATTTTCCTATAATTAAACTTAATTAAAATAATAATAATATCCATAAATGTTTATATATATAATAGAAAATTTATTTGTTCACATTGGAACTGTGATGATTTGAACCGCAAGCAATATCAGCAATTATATCCTGTTTTATAACGAACTCTTCAGCATATCCCACAGGCAAAGGGCAACTTCTCGAACAGGTATATATGGCTAGCGTCCCCCAATCAATGCCGTCATCATTGAGATAGTTCAATAGTTGCGGCATAATTTGAAATTCAAACTTTCTCTCCCCACCGCAATACTCGCAAAGCGGTATTTCTTTCAATTGGGAAGCCACAGTTTTTTGTACATCAGTTATCCACAACCTGTAAAAATGGGAGACGTTGACGCAAACGATACAATTGATTTGGCATGAATATGAAAAATAGCTAGGTTTGGCATGAAAATGGAAAGAAAAATATTCCTAAACTTAAAATACATTGCAGCTGATTTTGGCTTAGCTTGACTTTTCAGTCAGCGATATCAACCGTTGACTCCACAAGTAGTTACAAAAATTATATAAAATAAAAAAATTTTTTGTAAATGAGATTAGGTGGTTGCACTTACGGTAAGCCATTACGTTTATAACGTATGATTTGTTCCGGTTCTTTATTACATTCCTTACGAAATTTAAAGAAGAATTTGTCGTCCATTAGCTCACTATTAGCTGCATATTTTTCCAAATCAGAATCGGGCAGGTTCTGAAATGTTAATGTTTTACAGGACTTTGACAGTTCTTCGATTGCTTTAGAAAATTTCTGCTCTTCGACAGCATGTGGCTCGGTTATGTCTTCCTCATCGTTCATAGAATCCTTTACGATCTCCCATTCATCGAATTCAACAATTGATAGCCTATCACAAGATTCGATTCCCCCGATTTTTGAGCAGACTGGTTTGTGCAGATCACGGTGCACGAAAGAACAGTAGTAGCCCTCACAGTAGTCACATTTAACTGACGATTTGCAGCCGCAAGCCAAACATAATTTATGTTCCTTAGGTAATATCGCCGGCTATGGGTATAAACATATATACAAATAAATAAAGTATAACAAGAAATAGTCGACGGATTGGTGTCTTTATAGAAGCAACAGGTCTACCGAAAATCTGTTTTTAGACTAAATCCTAATTACCGAATATCCTCCGAAACCTGTTATTGAGTTGAAAAGAGATTTTCCGCAATCGTACCCAGAAAAAGATCTTACTCAAACATAGACTTGACACTACCGTCATCGGTTAAATACGATCGCCCGGAGCATGGCTTATCGGGAAGATTGATACCACTTATTGGAAAAGTCTCGAACCATTTTCTGCACATTCCATCAGAAACTACACCTTCACCGAATACTTGCATAAATTTCTTCAATTTCCCTTGTTGGATTGCGTACAAAATATAATGGCGCAAAAGACCATTATCAGTAGCCACAGATCATGACCGCATCACACTTAATATTGACGCGAACTTCTTCGTTTTGATTCTTTTTCTAGGTTAGTATGTATACATGTAATGATAAAAAGAAAGAGCCAAATATGTGTGAAATGAATGTGTGAATACCCGCATCTTGAAACTTGTTGTGGATGAAACTGGGAGAACTTTTCGGTAGACCTAATATATCCAAAACATACGTTAGTAAAAATAGGTGCTAAAGTTACTACTTACTAAAGGTTCTCCAGTTTCAAGAGGAGGTTCAGCAGCGTAAAACTCATTTTTTAAAGGCAACTGGCTACGTAAAACTGTTACTACACTATGGAAAATCAAGAAAATGTAAGGAAACACTTTTGTTTTTATTCGTTATCACTCACCTCGCATTATTACGCACATAGCATGTTTCACTGCGGCATATGAATACATACAGCATTCTATGGAAATTATAATCATCGTCGAAAGGTACGTACAGCTGGAATCGATTTTAATTGGCCAATGTAATTAAAACTCCACAGCAAGCTTTGCAATATCTTTACCTGTAGCAAAAATGCTTTCGGCTTTTCACATTTTTTGCAAATCATTTTTTCCTGAGCTGGCAAGTCATCTAAATGTAACCAAGCTGGTTTACCGCCAACCTTGTTAGGAAAATAACGATTCGATAACCAACCGCCATCAATCTTTTCCAAAAAGCCCAACTCTATTCCTATTTCATTGGCTTCCATTGCTTTCAATGAACTCAGTGAAGGTGTAAAAATAAAAAATGCTTAGCGTGGTGTGATAGATTTACCGAGGTGGCCGCGGAGGTGGTGACTCTGATTACTGAAAATGAGGCAACAACAATGGACGCTATGTTATATTAATCAGAGTTTATTTTTTTTGGCCGATTTCTCTTAAGGTTTCAAGCTTTAATTAGTTCATTATCTACTATATTTTAAGTATATTTTAAAGCTTAAAAAACAATACCTCTCTTGATTTCTTGAAATTCATATAAATTCACGAAAGATTCTATTTCCTCCCCTTCTCAGAGCAAAATTTTCTTTTTGTCTTTGACTGTATTTCTGAGAGTAAATTTATTTGTTGTACATTAAGGCAGCAACGACTATGGACAAGCATTTATATTTATTTACATTTTGTCGAGTGAACTCTCATTACCAATATAAAGTGAACTTCATTCATTTATAGCTATCAGCTTTTATATACATTGTAATAGTGTGCAAGTAAACTTGATGATATGTAATACGAAATAACGATAAATAACGATTTTGTATTCCGTTTTTGCTGAAAAAATTATATATATAAATTTTCAAGAAGATAGATAGCGTTCAGATATATTAACAAAGTATTTCGGTTCTGATTTCTAAACGAAACGTCTCTTAAATATTCACATTTTGTTCCTTTCCCATTGTTGTGTTATGCAGTGTTGATAAAACGCTTTGATATGTAGGTTTTTTATTTTCACGAAGATATCGATGCGATAGTGTTTGTGAAATTCTTCTAAAGTAAATATTAAAAGTAAAAAAAATTTACGCAAAAAACTGCAACGTAGGAAACTGATAAAAATAAAAATTATAAAAATATTTTTGGCAAAAAAATTAGTTGTTAAATTTGTAAAAATTTAGAAATAAGACACAAAATTGGTTATATACAGACGCACAGCAACAAAAAAATTCCTTGGCATTTTGTAGTAGAACGAAGTGAAAACACGGACAAGGAAATTTTTGATAAAGGAAGGAGAAAAGCAGATCAAAGGAATTTAACTTCGGAAATTATTATTTATTTGATAAACAATCACGAAATAATTAGCAAAAAAGGGGAATAACCTGATGATATAAAAACACCAGTTATATATTCTCGAATGTATCAAAGATTTAACGAAAACTATCGACTAAACTGCAAACACCGGCGCGGCAGCCCATTCATTCATTATTCATATCTTCTTGCTCAAAATATGAAGTGAACGCCGAGCTATTAATCATTTAATTTATACTTAAAAGAAATTAGCAAAAATCGAGGCGTTCAGCAGAGAGTGTCAAGTTTGTTTTCTTAGATGGTAAGCATTGGAAAATAATTACGGCACAAATATACTCTTAAAAGATTAGTTATGTAGTCAGTTTGAATAGATGCACAAATTGTCTACGTAAACATAATTTGCGGCAAATATTTATATCTATGGGATAAACTGAAAATAATAAATAGAGCGACCTGTACTGCTGTTTTTAGCGATGAGCCTAAATAAAATATTATGAGCACCCAACATCTCAACACATAAGTACGCGACTTGCTGACCATTTGAATCATTGCCAACAATTAGCATTTAGTGTAGTATTTTAATAAAACTACTTTGCATTTAAGTACGTGTGTTGTAGCTCGCATAAAGTACACTGCAAATAAATGATGGAATTGGCGAAATAGAGTACAAAAAAAATAGTGAAAAACTAGTAGGTGAAGTACGTTTTGTCATAAAAGCCATTACGAAAGCATGAGAACATAACCGATTATACCTTTATAACTTGGGGCGATTTAATTGAGATTATGTTATTGACAATTCCAGATTTAAATCCGAAGAATATTATATACGATTTGCCATAAAAATAAAGATCGAGCTTTAGGAGGAAAATGTCAGATTTCGTATCCCGTGACCGAATAAGTAATCTTTGGGAAGAAATACTTAACAGACATTGGAGATATTTGGATGCAGAGGAAAATGTAGAAAAACTGGAACAACGTATTAAAATCGAAGGTAAGAGAGCTAGGCTGTTATTATTTTCCTTTACAATATTTTAAAAATTGCTGCAATATCGAATCTGTCTCCCCCTTTTTTAGATTGTTTTTATAGTTTCCTAAATATTGTTGAGCCTGATCGCAAATTTTTTTTACCCGAAACTTCAACTGTGCTGAGAAATTCGATTCGTGATCTTCCGAAATTCTCTATAGACAAAGCGCTCTCAGCATTTGAAGCTATTAGTCAGTATGCAAATAATTTATATACAAAACCGTGGCGAAAAGAGTTCCGTATTTTGAAGGTATTCTACGAACATGCAAGAAAAAAAAAGTAATATTTAACGATAGCAATGATGTTATTTCAGATGTATTCGGGATTTTTTCAACATGTAATTCACTCATGTCTCTTAGATGTTGAAAAATTATTCGAAGCTATGGGTTACAGTCGCGTTTCAGATGATTTGCTGATTTTAGATGGGCCAATATGTCCTGACCAAGTGGCAAATGTTTCACGTGACGCTATGGCTGCCTATGTAGAGCTTCAGATTCTTAAACAAATCTTAGGAGGTCTTAATGATTTGGGGTTAAGTTGCAGCTGGTTAGAAATTTATCGCTATCGCGAAAGTCATGTGTGTGAGTATCGAAATCTTTTCAAAATTTAAAATAAATTTCTAATAAATATATCTTTGTTCATAGGTAACGTCGCGGAGGCAATTGAGAATTTATCTTATTATCGCAATGAGGATAATTTGCCAGTTGATAATTACAGCTATATAAAACTAAAAAAATCTTCCGCAAAGCCTTCACCAATTGCTACACGACTGCGTAATCGTGGAGGGGCTTTTGCGCCTCATTTAGCAGGTGATCCTAGGCGGGTTGGACCAAACATCCATATTAATTGTTATCCCTATCCTTGCATTAACCAAAATCCAGCCACAATGTACAACAATTTACCTTGTCGTCCGTCGCTGGACATACAAAGCCCTCATACGTCTCATTATAGCGAACCCAACGCCTTAGCTACTTTGCCTCAGCATAATTCACTCGTGAATTCACTTGGCACTTGCCAAAGCGCCGTATATTATCCATATCCGCCCTCTACAAGTTTCTACGATTCGCCATATGAGTACTTGGGTTCGCCAGTCGACAACGGCTTTGCATATGCTACCGTATCACAAGCCGGATACAATGGATATAATGTTTCTGGCAATCGTTATCCTTTACCATACAATATTTCCAATCAGTTCGATAATTGTAATGCGGTTGAGCCAAATTACGCTACCATAAGGGAGAATCGTTCTCATCCGCCAGCATCAAAGGGACATTACGATTGTTCAAATAACCCAACCGCCACATGTTATACTTCGGTAAATTCCTCTGCTACAACACACAATGGTCATCACATTAGTGCTAATAATTTACAACGTCAAAGTTCTTATCCTCCAGATCAGTTGATTGATTTTGATGAAAAGAATGATCAATTCATTAATAAGCAAAATTACGCCCATCAGACCAATGATGCCATGTACGGTAAGGATCGTGTGACTGATATTAGACGTTTGGCCTGCCGGGATTTTCAAATCGGTGATGGTTACGTTCAAAATAATGCTGACTTTTCCTCTATCAATCAGCAATGCGGTCATGCTTTCCGTCAAGGAAAGTTACAGAACGATGACACATATATATACGCTTTGCCAACACCGAAGGAGAATCGCACCCCTAGGAACAACTTGACGGCCAATGATGCAAATAATCGTGAAGATAGCTACCAAATGAGAAAGAATCCAAAGCATGTAAGTGTTAAACAAATTTATTGGTATTGTTACTCATCTTTTTTTATATACAAAGGAGTGTTTTGAGTCAGATTCTACTATGAGAAGGCTTTCTCCACATAGCGGCTCTACTTCAGAACGTGACATGTCCGATTTATGCAGTGACTCAACTCGTGATGAAGCTACTAACAATGCTTGTGGCCAAGAAGGTGGAGACGAGAGAAAGCATTCCTCTCCTACCCAGTTATCCAAAAACCAGGACGGTTTTGGTTCTTTCGAATCATGGCATAATGTGTTTCAGAATTTGCAACCAAATGGTCATTCGAGAGACGCTGGCGATGGGGATGATATGTTAATGCAAAGTTTAGATTTGGATTCTCTTAATTTGGCCAACGATTCATCGACTAATACCGCCAGCACTGAAAGAAGGCGTTCTCAATACAATAGTAGCACCAATGAAAGTAAACCCATACGTTTAGCTATACAAAACGGCGATAAGGCGCGCACTCTAGAAAAGACCCATAAAACTGCGGGCAAAAAACAGGAACCTGAAACAGCGTATAAGTCAACAACTAACGACAATAAAAAAATTAAATCTGCCTTAAAGCAACCAAATAAACAAGAACATCAGGCGAACAGTAAAAATGGAAAGGTCACAACAACCACTTCAGCGGCGGCAAATAAGAAATCTAACAAATCATTTGCAGACAATAAAAGTAACGAATTGAAAAAGAATGGGAACAATAATCAGGCAACAGCCAATCAAAATCGTAAACCAATAATAATGGAGACGAAACAACAAACACCTTGTACCACTGCACCTATAACGCAAGTAATTGTTACCAGTCCACAAGAGTGGAATTGTCCGTTTTGCACGTTTCTTAATCTTAATAGTGGAAATATTTGCGAAATTTGTTTCAAAACTAAAGATTTTCATCAGGACGCCAACGTAGTGGCTCATAATGCACCAACTTGCGTTTAAAGAAATAAATAAATTAAACCGAGTGAAAATTATTATTTTTTTTTCTCTGAAAATTGAATTGTGTTACAAATAAGTTGTGTCGCTGTATCTAATCTAACCTTATGCTTCATTTTTATATGTATTTAAAAGTACCTGTGAAAGAATTGCTTCACAATTTTTTGATTTCCCGCCAAAACTATATTAAACATTAGTTAAAATAGTGAATAAATGGTTTCTTGAGTAATAATTTAAGCGAGAATGTGCCGCGCAAACAACGCACGTGCATTTCCGAGCCCAACTGACTTACATGAACAGTGATCTGGGTAAATATATCGTCATTTTGATTGTAGAAATTTTCTTAAAAGAAAAATTAAAATAAAACAAAAGGACGCAGATTTTTAAAACAAACATACACGTATACAAGTTAATAAAGAAGGCGACATGGAAATTGTGTGATAAACGACGAACGACGCCGATTGGAATCTAATAACAACATTTAAATCACTTTATAGGAAAGCAAAAGAAAAAAAAAATGCGAGTACTTTCCTCCTATAAAAGCATCGGATAAATTACCTCTCAAACAAATAATTGTATGTAAAAGAAAATGAACTAACTAATATTGATATATAAATATTTATGTATAAAAAATGTTTGTGAAAAAGATTTCTTGCCTTTCTTTTCTGTCGGTTTTTTTTTTTTTTTTAATTTCCCTTGAGATATCTCCATGCTTTGTTTTTGGCTAAATATACCGTTTATTGTGTTTAGAAAAATTTTATTAAAATGTATTTTTTTTTTTTTTTGTTGAGTTATTACAATTGCATTGATTTAAAGTAGGAATTTTTTCAATTTTATTCCTCATATAGTCAAGGCTTTCGAGTAAACGATTAAATAATTTTTGGAAAACATGTAACTAAAGTGAATACTCTATAGAGTATGAGAATCTTCGTCACTTGCACAACAAAATATGATTGGATTTTCAAAAGTTTCCAATTGCTTTTATTTTCACAAAAAAAAAATTTTTTTCCATGAAAAGAAGAAGAAAATTTATCGTAAAGAACTCTTTCAAAACGATGTCATATAAGAAAATTTTAGAAGAGATATGGGTAAAGCGTTCCTATGTAAAGCGCTTTATACATGTATTTGTGTATATACTCCACTCGAAAGCAGACGTACGTATCTATGTACATAGAATGAGAAGGTGTTTATATGTATATATAGATGATATATAGAGAGATGTGTATCCATACATAGGTGTATAAAAAAATATATATAAACACATAAACACATACATACATGTGCGTACAGCAGGCTAACGCAACTTTTCACAATTTCAGAGACAAGAGCAGTATAAAGAATAGTGGTTAGCATTAAGAGCATCACTCTAAATCTCACAGCAGAATATGGTGTTGGGCTTAAGCCTTTTCATAATCATTTTCTTTGTTTTTCGTTCCTATTGCAGCGGTATAAATGCCCTTTGTGGCATATATAATTTTTAATATAATAAATCGCGTCTCCTTGCACTTCTTTGCAATTTCGGTTCCAATGTTTGCTTTCCTCACTCCTGACCGGCTTAACATAGTACTCACGTTTTTGACATTTTAACATAGATTGGACGTTTTTAACATGGATGGCACGTTAATGCTATTAGTGAATTAATTGCATTCAGCATATGATTTCAGAGAACATTTTTCTTCTTCTTCTTTATGGGCTTTTTTGAAAGAAAAGAATAACCTAATAGAAATGTAATAAGTTTCAAGAATTAATTACATAAACATTAATTTAGGAAATTAATTATCTCATTAAACATTAATCATCGATCAGGTGTGTTTCCCAATTCCTAGATGATTGCGCATTAAAAGCAAATCCAGGAATTGATTAAGAAAAATTCGTTTAATTAAGCTTTTGATAGTGAAAAGAAAGAATTTTTTACTAAAAATAATTTTTTCTCAGCCAGCTCTGTTTTTCAAAAGAAATGACAGACAAGCAGACAAGCTTACGAAAGTTTAACTTTATGGGCGATGCTGTAGTACCTTTATGAAAACGGAAAAAATAGGCCGCGTCTACCTAATTTTAAAATGCTTCATAAGTTAATTTTTTCGAAATCTTTCGAAGGCTTTGCTCAGTGTCGAATTCGGTATGCACTTAAGCATCTTCGTCTGTTCGTCTCTCCATCTGTCGGTTTGTCCAAGTGTGCGGTATCTATGGTAAACATCTTTCCGTTCGCAGAAATGAAAATATCGCCTACAAAATTGCAATATACGTTGAAAGCGACCCAAACCGGTCAAAGAGCAGAAGTTTCCACTGGATCTAATAAAACCCAATAATACTAGAAACCTAAATGTACTTGACACGTTTTGGAGAATGTCCCGTTTGCAATGGATGGACGGACGGACGTGACTTTTACGAATCGGCTATTCGTGACGCATAAAGTGTATTTATACAGTTTCCGCTTGAAGTATTTCTCAAGTCTTAAAAGCCAATCAAGTCGTGAGTGTAATTGAAATTCATTACAGTAGCGTTTTGTTTCCACTGCGATGCATTGGGAATGCATTTCAATAATAATTACAGCAAGTATTACATTATATTCAATTCATTTAATGAGGAAATTGCGGAAAGGAAGAAAATGAAGAGTAAGCGTTTAGTGTTTTGAAGAAATTTTTATTTCAACGATTCTAAAGCTCTTGTGCGCTTTCGCATAAATTGAAATGAATTGAGAAAAAGATTCACTTGCTGCGAGAAACAGACCCCTCTTTAAAGGGGCCTTACCCTTACAAAGACAGATTATTCCTATATGAAGGTAGTTTCCGGTATGATTCGAAGGCGTCTTTTATTTTCTTAATTGCACCAAAAAAGTTACTTAAAAGGAAGCAACTGTAATGAATGAAAGATAAAAAAAAATTTATTATAACGAAATTGTATTATAATAAGTAAATAGATAGAAGACAGAAAAATCAGTTTAGGATCACTCATTACTAGCGAGTAATGGTTCTTCTTTATTTTTAATCCATAAGTAAAGTAAGTGTAAAGCAGAGAACGTGTGGTTGTTAATTTTACACAAGTGTAAGTGAAAGTAATTTTTTTTGAAAAAGTATAAAGAAAATGTTATTACGTATAATAAAAAAAAAAGTATTATTTTAAAGAGCAAAGTACACCAAAAAGTACATCTATAATTACTAAGATGTTAGTTAAAAAAAAAAAGAAAAGAAAGAAAGAAAGAAAAAAAAAACATTAAACAATGTGGAAGAGAAAAATGTGCTTTAAATATTTTATAAATCCACATATGTGGTAACCAATAATAAATCATGTTTGATTAAAACAATAAAGTTTTGTATGTTCGCTTAACAGCGAATGTTATGATTATCTATATATCGATCGGCGAAAAATGATGATAAAATTTTATGAGATTTTTCCGTTCATTTGTAAGTTCCAGAAATAAGTATCAGAAAGTGAAGTAAATGAAAGGCAAGCTAAGATTTATGGTCTATAGTATAGCTTATCATGTTCGTCTGTTCGTCCGTGGGTACTTTGCCTGTTCCCTCCTGGATTGGATGATTAGGTTAGATCTCTAAGTGAAAGTGCTATGAATTTAATATCTCCGCCTTCCTCACTGGTATTCATAATTTAATAATTTGCGAATAATTTGTGAAAGTATTTTTCAGATAGACTTTGATCAAAATTTTGAAAATATCCTACATATATATATATACAATATATATTGCATTTTCCTCAATTTTTCCCTTATCATAGGTTAGAGACGCGAGAATAGAAAAGCGTAATAATTGAAGGCGCGGTAATTGAAAGAAAGAATATTTAAAAAATTATTTTTATTTATTTATTTATTTATTTTTTTTGTATTAACATTGTCGTTTAGTAAAAAGTTGTTAATTTAAATTGTAGAAATTACCAAAGTGTAAGAGGCAATCTTTAAGATATTGTTGGCATTGACAGAAATCTGGAAAAGGCGGGGCGAGCACTTCATGCATGATCTTCAATAAATCGATAAATTTGTTTAGAGCCTTTGAGTATTCGCCAGCTTCGTAGTAATGTTTGGCCGTGCGTGTCATTGATTCTGTGTCCTGGAAAAGAGAGAAAAAAGAGAACAAAAACCCGGTCTTTCAAGTCTTGAAATCCTAAGAAAAAGATTAAAAGCTTTATCGTATAGCACCTGCATCACTTTCAGGCCCTTGAATATGTTGGTCATTTCACCGCACGTTACACATTTAACCATAAAATCATTGCAAGCGGATGATATCTCAATTATTGCATTACATTTATTCGGAGCATCGCAACGAAAACGTATAACGTCCGTCGGTAGCATGTCAAACGTGGGCCAATTCTCCAGGCAGGCATCACAAGAACAATCAAACCGGTACAGATCTCTGAGTTTTGTTTGCCTTTCTTCTCGCATTTCTTGCGTGTAAATTGGTCCGTAATTTTCGGAAATTGGTAAACCGGCTTCAATTGGTTTCACGGTATTTATGTGTATTGTGGTACCGCGGAAATATCTGAGAAGAAAAATTTGTAGTTTTTACGAGTATTCCGGAAAAGATTATACCAACCTGACTACGCCCGGATCGCAAGAGTGATTAAAAAGTGCCAAGGTCGGGTAAAGAGCGCCGCCAATAAAAGCAGTTCTCTCGCTTCCGTCTCTTTCCGATTTATGCAATTCAGCCACTTCGTGAGTATTGAATTGTAAAAATTGTAATGTACGCAGGAGCAAAGATGTAATCGTTACAAAATCTTCCGATTGGCATTGCTCATCCAGGTAACCCGACTCTTGTAGACATTTGCTAAGAAAGCGAGCCATCAGAGCATGTTGAAACCAATTGGAGGCGGTACGTGTACTTTCATGGCGAACTAAGTGAGCAACGCGAAGGTAATTGGTTTTGGGAAGTCTGTTTTAATAATTTCACAAAAAACAGGAAAACCTTTCTTAGAAGAAATGATCCAAAAAAAAAAGTACTTTTTCAATATTCTTTACTGACTTTAGGATCTCCTCTAGAGAAAGCTTTTGATCAATATTTTTCGCAATCTTAAGCAAGTTATCCTTGTCTTGGCTAGCCAAGATCCTTAATGCCATGTGACAATTGATTGAAGCTCCTGATTGCCAAATCGTTGGCAATAAACCGCATTCATATTTGTGATAAGACTTGGCAGCTCGGCTCAAGCATTTTTCCGAGCAATAAATGACATCAGCGCACGAGGGACATGTCACGGGTATGGGAGAGCTACAAATTGCCGAAAAAAATTACCCAAAAAATCCCTTTGTAGGACATAAGTGTTTTCAATACCGTATAAAGCAATGTTCGCAATGAGTTTTAGAGAATTTTTCCAGTAGCACAGCCACAAAAGGCCTTTCTATTAGAATCTCCTCGGCTACTTTTATATCGGTCGCCGCTTTAGCGAAGCGTCCTTCGTTTGCGTTTTCATCGAATTTCACTGCCGGACTTAATAATTCTTTTTCATCTCGAATAGCCAAGGAAGGCACAGACTCAGCAGTGAAACCGTTTTTCTTTTGATATTCCGCCTGTTTGGCAGTTTGCGGATCCTTTTCTAGCATTTTCATCATCGTCATCGCATCCAAATTCATTTTGGATCGTCTACCTTCATCCAACGTAGCGTCATCCATTGCGGTTAAAAATTTTCTAGAGCGAAAACCTACACATCAGCCCCATACAATCTTTATCAAAAGCATGCAAAGAAATGGAAACTTACTTGAAATAAGTTATGCTATTTGGATAATTTCTTTTGGCCAGGAAACATTTGGCTTGACGTTCATACAGCTTGTAGAGCATATCCTTCGGGTAGCCGTAATCAAGTGAACGTTTGACATCAATTAATGCTTCATCATATTTGTCCAGGTGATACAAAGCAGCCGACCGATTTGCCAATATAATGGATTTTTCGAGAACTTTTTCAAAAGATTTGATTTAAATTTATTTGTTCTAACGATTAGCCAGATGTAGCCATTGCACCGCCTACCTTTGTCTGCCGGCAAAGCTATGTAGCTTTTGCTATAGAGGATCATAGCTTCCAGCCATTGTTTTGCTTTAAAGGCCATGTTGCCTTTTTCTTTGAAATCAGCTGCCACGTCAGCGTTTTTGCCTTCATACGATCGTCGCACGTTAAGTGCGTGATCGTGTTCTTGCAGGCCCGATAAACGATTCAAATATCCGATACGTTCCAAATCATTATTACAATGTTTGATGTTTTCAACTTCAAGATCAAAGTCTTTTAAAGTATTTTTCAAATTCAAATAATAGGCCGTAAAGAATCCATCATTTCTATTTAAACTCATTTTTGTTGCTTTCTTTTTTTTCTTCTCTCTTCTTTTTTCCTTTCAGTTAACTTATGCAAGCGCAAATGAACTTTTCAGCAAAAGAACATTAGGTAGACTGCGAGGCGGTTAGAAAAAAAAAAAACTATTTTAAAATGCGCTAAACGAGCGAAGGCATAGAGACATCGAGATGGAGGAGTAATTAATTGCCGATACATGTTTCTATCGAAACGTGCAAAGAGAGCTGTTTCTCTTCAAATTATTTATAGCTGGGTATACGGGACGTTAAGCAAAGCAACATTCTTCAGAGATGCTTTCGATTAAATCATTTAATGTTTGTTTTAGATAAAATCAGGAAAAAAAAAAATACTGGCCAGGGCGCTCATCAATTTCTACTCAATTGTTTGATTACGTTTTGTGGGGGGATTAATGCAAGCAAGGAAATGGAAGAATAAGCTAGAGCTTAATATAAAAATTATTTTAAATTCTTGAAGAGTTGAGAGGTAGTTTAAGCAAAAAAAAATAAAAAAGAGAACCAGTTGTACTGGAATCCCGTGTGCCTCCTGTGAGGATTGAACTCACGACCCCTGGTTTACAAGACCAGTGCTCTACCACTGAGCTAAAGAGGCTTTTTGGCATTTGTTGCACAAACAATAACCTAAGCACATCGCGTCCCCAGCTAACAGATTGGTTTCGCTTTGTATAAAAATTCATTGTCAGTTTTCATCTTTTATTATTATTATTATTATTATTATTTTAATTTCAGACTAATGAATTGAATTCTTAGACTAAAAAAGAAGACATTGAGCACTAGCAACACAGGCTATCGGCTCTTCATCTTTTAATTTTTCCTCTTTCACATACCATTAACTGCCTAATTAGTAATTTCCAGCAATATAATGTCATTTGGCGTAAGTGGGCCGTAAGAAATGCATAGTCAGTATACGAGTGCACAGGGTCTAGATTAGATGCCTAATTACGGCGTTGTTTGTAAATTTTTTGCACAATATCGCAGATTCTATTGCATTTTTTTTATACTCCCCTCGACCGATTTAGAGTCATTTCCTAAGATGCTGCCTGACTGTCCGCCTACCTGATGTCTGTCCATGTATTCTTGCCATCAAATAGCTACTATTTCGAATAACATATATTTCGACTGAATGCTTAGAATTGGATTTTCGCAATGTCCCCGCTGTTGCCAAGTGTAGATGCTTCCTTGTGGCCTCAATTTTCTCTAGCCTTGGAAATCATCTTCCTTCTATCCATACTTTAGTGATTCGCTAGCTGAGCACTTACATTTCTTATGAACTTAAACTGAGTAGACTTTAGTCTCGTATTTTTTGTAACGCGGAAAAGCACATTGCTGAGTTCCTATGCTCCTACGTCGCTCTGTACTTCTGTCGTAATGAAGACTAAAACTTGAAAGTTTTATTTAGAAGGATCGGCTTAGATCGATGTATATGTTTTTAGGTATGTATGCACATATACGCCCAGAAGAAGAAATATATCATATATATATATATGTTAAAAAGACGAAATATATACATGTCGGGAAGGACTCTGAAATGAGAGTTCTTGATGGCTACAAACATGTCTTTCATTTATCAAGTGGTTACTTGAGAGAGATTTGCATGTCATTGAAAATCGTTTTTGGTAAGGAGGCAAATTTTCACTTCAATAGCTTTGTTAATGAGCAAAATCGGACACCACCACAAATTCAAAAGTCGTTTATCGTCAGCAATATGTCCGCATTCAATGAGTAACGATTTGTTGCGGTTTATGGTGCGAATGTCATCATTGTGCCGTCACTCGTTTTTGAAAATATTGAAGGGCAAACGGTTACAGTCAATTATGGGCGATATCGTGCCGCGCTAAAAAAGAAAGAAAGTAATAAAGTGGTGACTTTGCTGGCAGCGGCATGTTTACTTGCGTTTGACACTTCGCCACATTTACATAATTGCGGATAGACATGAACTTGGACATGGAAAACAGATTCTAATGATGGTGGATTAGAAACGTGACTGTACTCGGTGACCTTTTCAAGTGGGTACCCCATAGTGTGTCGCTCACGTACGCTCAATTTCCCATCAATAATTTAGTAGAAATTTTTGAAACAAACGCACAAACAATATGTGACGTAGATAAGATATGCATTGAATTGAACGCATTGAACGCATTGAATGCATTCATTCATTACCTTGTTATTGTACATTGCAGCAGACATAATATCTTTAGGGATGTTAAGTTAATGGGGAGATGAACGCACGAACATGTAAATAATAATAAATAACAATATTGTTTATTTAGGGTGAAGGACGACGGCGAATGCAGATCGCAGCGAGATTAGAAATCTGAGTGTATTGTTGTGGTAAGCGAAAATAACGGGGTGGTAGCGCGATGTGCGGCTACACTGTGGATTAAACAGAACACAATTCGGACCTGTTAAACATCATCGGCCGGATGAATGAGGTGCTCATAAATTTATTAACTTTAATATCTTATGTTACTTTCGTTGTCTTTTGTTGTTTGTTGCTGCTTTCTTTTCCTATTTTGCTTTTTTTCTACATTTCCTTTTTTAAAAAACACACACGCTGAACATACGCTCTCGCGTTCGCTGCTCATTAAATATATGAAATTGCTTTCCTATTATTACGAATTGTAACAAAACTTAAGGGTGACTACGCGCTATTATAACTGATAATCGTTAAAGTAAAGTAAAAGCATTTTTTTTTTTTTTTTAAATGCGTCAAAAAGAGGATGACAGCTGTGTTCGGTTGGCCTATCTACTGCTCGATTTTTAATGAGTTTGCTGTCAGTTTTCTTTTTATATTTTTTGTAACAAGTTATGTTTGATTTCATTTTTTTTTTTAATCTAAATGTTGAAATATGTTCGTCCTCTTAAGTAACATAAGTTTTCAATCAAAATTGATTTATTAGATTATATTATGCGGCATAAAAAAAGAAGGGGTAGGAATTTCTAACAAATGATTAATAGTTCAGGATGGATGATGGCTCATAAGCATATTGCGTCTGTGTTAGAACATTGATTTAACTGGGGAGGGAGTGATATGTTTTTAATATAAACAGCATTAGTTCGGCTTATGTATGTTTAAATTTCGTTAGAAAACGACTGAGAAAATATTGTTATTATTATTATCATTATGAATAGTTAATAAACCGACTTTTTAACACACTTATGTCCAAGTAGTCACCGCCTACAGTCTATTTAAGATACATAACGGTTTCTTCTTCTTCTTCTTCTTCTTCCTGCACCTACAAAAAAAAGGCAGAGAAATAATTGACTTTGCAACGCTTACCTTCACAGTCTGTAAGGGATATATACTGCCATGTGGACGTAAAAAGCACGAGCACACTTTATCCTAAGGACATTATAAAATGGATTTTAGCGAGATTTGTAAACAACAAATAAGAAAATTATATTAAGCAGTAACTCTATCTTTTACACTCGCTACCGTTGTCTGTCATGACTAAAAAAAAAAGGAAACAACTAAATTTCCGTACTCTATGACATCTCGTGGGCGTGGATGATTTTTCGATTTTCGCAAAATGAAAACGGAAATTTATATCGTGTGTTTATGGGTCGTGGTTTATGGGCTAAAAATCTAAAAAGGCTGAATGTACCCAATCGGTGAAAGAATACGCTCTTATTACAATATAATGGCGAGTCCATTTTTTTCCAGTGCTTTGCCAAATTTGAAGCAAATGTTTCTGCTGTTGCGAGCAATTAAAAAACAGGTGGACAAACGACACGGCCAAACATTTGTAGAATCAATCGGTTTTGACACTAGTCAGTAACATGTAGACTTCACATAGCCCCTGAAGCTTGTTTCTGGGTGCTGCTAGCAAACGTTTTGATAAAGGAATGAAATTTCGATATTCTGTAATATTGAGTAGACGAGGCGCATTTCTCATATTCCCATTCGCGGGCACCCATAGAATAAAAACACCAACTTTTGTCGTAGTAACTGTTGTTGCGTATAAGTAAGCGGTTCAGGTAATGTTGCAATGTGGTCGTGTCCTTTGACCGTTTTGGCTCAGTTTCAATACTATCAAGGGCTTCGAACCTTTGCGCCAAATTTGAAACCCTTGGTGAGCTTTTTGCTTATCAAAGACATTACACAGACAGACGGACGGACGTCCTTAAATCGGTTTACAATTTGATTTTGATCAAGAATGTATGTAATTTATGGGGCCTCTGAAGCGGCCTTCTGGATATCCTAAACCTTTTCATAAAATGAACATATCCCCCATTCCTCGGTGGACGGGTATAAAAATGAGAAAAATCCTCTTTCATTTTAAAATACTTGTATTTTAAGTTATGCTAAAAAACTTTTAAAACGTTTGAGTAATTAGAACACACACACACAACAAAATGTCCTAAAATAAAAACAAGTTAAAATCGTCGCTAAATATCCGCGGCTTGTGCATTCGACGAGCTTCTGACAAGTCTCCTTAGACAGGTAATATTTGTGATTAGGAAGCTTTGTTTGATTCATCTTCATTTTAACAGCACGCCATAAACATTCAATGGAATTAAAATCGGGACTGCGTATTGGCCATTTCGATAAACCTGCGATGCGAAATCCAATCATAACCCTTGCCGGACGATTTGCATAACAATTCTCTTATCTTAAAAAGACTAAGTGCTGTAAATTTTTCAGAAAATCAAATACTTTTTCTTGGTTTAAATCGCCCTTGCTTGATATTTCTAAAAAATTGTTTTTTTTAATTTATTTTTCATAATATTTTTTGATTTTATGGTATCAGAAACGACGAGCGGGGAAAATAATTATTTGCTTTTCCCGTCGGTAATGAGATTAGATAGCCTTTATATCTGTTAATTGCGTTGAATACGAATGCTACTCGATTCGTCGACTCGATAATCGAGAAATGTAATTGGCAAAGGCAAAAATTAAGATAGCGTGTAAAAAGCCGAATATTTAATGTGTCACTGATACTTCACTAGCTGTATATTTCTGGCTAGCAACGGTAAGAGGGATCATTGTAAAGTGTAAACGGACTTCGTCGGTGTATTATCAGTCCGCCCGTTTGAGTATTTGTTTTTATGCAAACTCTGGATTGTCGCGTGGCTCGAAGTT